ATAGCACCTGTAATTGTTGTGGGATCTGAGGGCTGCTTGGTGGAATATTCCTTTCTGATGTACAGATGTTAGGAGACAAACAGAAAACCCTTGGCTTGTGCCTTGTTCCAGTGGCTATCCCCACAGCCAGGAGGTGGCTGAACAGAGCTGGGTAAGAAGCAAAAGGATCTTCCCAAAGAATTTCTCTGTTGATTATTGCTGCAGCTCACAGCATGGGAACTTTCAGTAACAAAGACTTTAAAGTTTTCTTCAAAGGGCTTCCAGGCTGTTCGAGAAGCTCCATCTGGAAAAGGTCTCATGAGACTTTGGAGTGTTTTGTAAATACAAGCTGGGGACAAATGAAGGCTTTCTTAAATTGAATTCTTGCAAAACTTGCTTTCTAACAAGAACTTGCAGCAGGCCACATTAACACAGGAATGTTTACCAAATTGCATCCCTGGTGTAATGCCTTTTGGAAAGGGTACAGTTAGCTTGTCATCCCTATAAAGACTTCTAATAACACAGTAAATTAGAGGTCTTAGGGGAATGTGCTGTAGTTGGTTCTTTTCAGGTCATGTTCTTGGTCTTGGATCACTGTGTGAAGCTGTATACGATGCTTTATACTGTTTGCCTGTGGATTTGTTTTGTGTTTCAGCAGATTGAATAGTATTTCTATTTAAATCGTGTTTCATTCCAACTACAACAATTGGTGTTCTGTAGTGTCAGGGGGTTCTTGAGGTAATAGGAACACTGTATGGTTTGTGATTTACTGCCCATTTTAGCCTTTGAGAGCCATCGGTACACTTCAGTCCATTTTTTCTTGCTTTGTTTGGGTCAGTGATGCCTCATCAGTTACACCACACTGTGACAGTGGGAGCGTCCTCAGCCCTGGTGGCTCTTGATTGTGGATTTTGCTCAGAGGCACCAGAATGCCTGCAGCATCGTTTTTCTATCATCAGTGCTAATGCTCCAGCAACACCAGTATTACCAAATCTAAAGACCTTGATGTCTGACTTTCACAGTTTTCCCATCTTTGAAATGCTTCAGCTTTTCTAAAAATGTGTTTACTTTGTGCAGGTGTTTGTGACTGTGCGTTAGCTGCCCGCATCAGACAAAACCTGCCTGTCTGGAGCTCTTACTTGTCTGTACATTCCACTTAGTGCTTCTGGCAGCAAATGAGAACAGAGAATATGGAGCAAGTAAAAGCTATGAAAGCTCCATAAATCTTATATAGATTGAAGATATTGCCTGCTATCATCTTGATATTTTTCCCTTTGCTTGTGTTATATTGAAATCTCAGCATATTTCGTGAACATTGAATTAAGCCTCCTACAGTCTTCCTCCTTCTCTCTGCCGGAAATGACATTATCACCCCCTCTTTGTAGCTGAGGAATTGAAGGTCTGAGTAGTGAAGTGCTTGGTCCAAGGTCAGCTCGGAGCTAGTGGCACGGCTATGAATAGACACAGACATTCTAGCTCTCAGTTCTGCTAAACAAGATTGTGCCCTCCTGGTTTCAGTTCATCATAACTTGATGACTGTTAATATTTGAACATAAGAACGTGGCAGAAGAATTAATTTTCAACCAGCCAACAGGTAATCCTTTGTTACACCAGCAGCAGGACACAAAGTACCTTCCATGCTCTCGTGGATCCTGTCTGCTGTTGCTTGCTTTGTGTAAGGGAAGATGTGAGGATGGCTAAGGACTACTAGAAAGAGTTATCATTTGAGAGTGGGTCTTTGTTGTTTAGTGGGATGTGGTAGGTACTTGCCTGAATGTTCACTTTCATGATAAAAATGAAGATAATGGACCTGATTCTTCATTTGTCTCATTATAGCAATAATGAAGTATCCTGATAAAAGTCAGACTTCAAAGTCTAATCTATTTTAAAAGCAGTCAGAAACTCCAGTGCTCTCTTCTGCTTGCTGAAGGGGAGAAGTAATTCCACTAAAGTCCTCTGAGAAGTAAGAAGTGAATTTTGTTGTGCTAATCAGGAAGAGGAAGTCATCTGTCTGCAGCTGGTCGCTTTGCTGCTTACATGGCATAGCCCTATAAAGGCTACATAAGAAGCTTTGTGATGAACAAATGTCAAGGGCAATTAATTCTTTGGCAGGCAGCTGTTATTATTAGGACAAAGAATGGCCAGACATAGAAGGAAAGCCTTCAGCTGATTTGTTATTCTCTACCTTTTCCATCAAAACTGTTAAGTCACTCAAACCCCAGCAAAGAACTTTTATGCAGCGAGAATTTCAAATTTGCCATCTCCCTTTTCTAAGTAGGAGGCCCTGTATTAGGTTTAGAGCACAGAGGAATAGCTCAGAGAAAATATTTGGAAATTCTTCACCACTTTAATGCTATCAGCAAGAAGAGTTGTGTGTTAGGTTGGTAACACAATAATATGTGGGCTGAGTTAAACCCACTTCAGACTGTTTTTCTCAAAATTAATTGATAGAAACTGCCCACTTTCAGGCTTGATTTATTACCTTAGCAGAGTTATTCCAGGATTGCTGCAGTGCATCTGTGGGTATTCTAAACACGCCCACAATGCCAGAGAATCAGGAAGGATGTACTTAAAACCCCCTAATTTATCTAATAACATCTCTAGCAGGTTTTTTTGTGTGTGTGTGTAGGTTTAGTATTGTAATGGGAATACATTCTTTGGCTGGATGAAGAGCTCCTGTGTGAGACTGCTAGCACTGGCTGCAGGGATGTGTAAATAGCATTTGGAGCTGATAGGGGAGATGCTCTGACTGGCTGCATAACTTGTAAATGTGTATTTGAGTTTTGTACTTAGTATACTTAAAATAACATCTAAATTTGCAGATATAAACACTCACAATTGTGTCTTACAGAGGTGGCCATCCCATCCCATTTTGGCAGCCATCGTCTCAGTTCTCAGCAGTATTCCTTCTCTGCACAATAGACATCTTGAGGGCTCATTTATAAGGGGTAGGAAACAAATTTGGTCCTTCTAAAGCTGCCTGCACTGACAAGTTGAGGGCAAGCCCTGGACTGGGGATCAGCTGGGATTCCTGCAGGAATCCTGTTCTGTTCATGCCTGAAGCGAGCTCCATCTGAGGGCAGTATGTTTGTAAGTGCTTTCAGCATGGATTCTTGTGCTGTGCTTTATTTAGGCTGTACCGTAATAAATAATCTTTCTATGGATTTTTTTTAGAATGCTGTTCTCGTGTGTTGCTAACTGCAGACATAATTATCCCATCCCAGGCGTCACAATCTCTCACTTTTGTTGTAACATGAAAATTGCATGTAACATGAACAGCAACCAGTATTGCTGCTCTGGAGTATTGAAGCTAATAATAGAAATGAGAAACCTGTTCTTTGGGAGCTAAATAAAGGCAGACAAGACTCGATAGAAAATCAGCTTCCACATGCACCCGAAGTAAAGGAGATCCCTGTGTTCCTCCTGTTGATCACTTACCACCGGGCACTGCTGTATGTAAATAGGATCAGAGTTCCTGTGCTGTGCTGGGAAGAGCCAGTCCTAAGGCAGCTGATTTCCTCAAGCCGTCGTGCTTCATTAGCAGGCGCACTGCTGAGGCCTGGAGGTGCTGCGTGAGCAGAATGCTCAGCTGCTAATTCTAGGAAATACTCTTAGTGATGGTGCAGTAACACAGCACAAGTGGCTTTCGGCGTTACTCGGAGGGCTGGAGCTTGTCTTGTGATGATATATCACTTGCAAAAAGATATTTATTGCTAATCTTATATTTAAATAATTTATAGATATGTCGAATTCTGAATAACAAAGATTGCATTTCATATACGTTTCCTGAATCTGCTGCATAATCCTACTGCTTGTAGCAATGTTTGGTGTCAGTAATCCAGCAAATGTTATAGTATAATGGTTTTTCAAAAATCCCCAAGTGCAGTTGTTTTTCCTGGGCAGCAAATCAAATGTGAACGCAAGGGATGGGTGCCACCGTGTTTCGAGGGCTCCAGAACTAATCTGATAGATCCATGTGTACAAGTTTGTATGTTCTGGATCTTGGGTGGATACTTCTAGGCTGATGCCTCCTCTCCATCCTTGGTAAAAGCATGAGCACAGACTTCCTGGTCCTAACTGTAAGAAATAGGCTCAAGAAGTGTGTTTGCTCATTGCCTGCTCCTTGGACTGGCTGATGCGCAGTTCCATTGTTGATGGGCTGTTTCTGAAAATGGAATTAGCTTGTATATCTCAATGTGGTCCTGCAATGGTAGACACATCTTATGCAGGACATTGTTACCCCTCCTGATTACTGTGGATACTGGAGGTTTCAGGCTGCATCAGCAGGAGGCACCTGGAAAAGCTAAGTCAGGCAAATGGGAAATACAAAGGTATGCATAAATTAAGGGGTATTAAACTCCTCTCGAATGAGAAAATGTACATTCAAGTGGCCTTGGTTTGCTATAGATTAATTAACCTTGGGATTTATCAGGTTTAATTAAGCTACAGTGAGTTAAAGCCACTTTACTCTTGATGGAGAACATTCACGAGGGAGCTTAATTCCCTTTTAACCTTATGCAATGCACACAGACTTCGTACTTCCTGTGAGTTTGCCCTAACTTTCCTTGGTGTTGCTTATGTTTTGGAAACTTTGGAAACTGAGGAGTTCTCTTATCCTTTGGAATCCTGGCTCCATTTCTTAGGAGGAGCTAGACAGAGTGGACTTATGATAAAAGTGCATAATGGACACTCAGAAAATATGCAGTACACAAGGATTGTGTGACAGACTGCAGGGGGTTAAAGTTTAGATTTGAAAAGCAAATAAAGGGTATGAAGCAAAACATTAAAACGTAAGAAATGGAGAAAATAATAATGAAATGGGGCCATTAAAGTCTGTTGGTAAGCTTGGGGAGGTCCTGCTGGGAATTGTGGTGCTGTCTGACAAAGACTTAGAGGTTTTACAAGTCCTGGACAAGTCCAAGTTCCAATTTTTCTATAGAAAAGGATTGTGATATATTACCGTGACTGCAAATTGCTTTGCTAAATATCTTTATATGGGTTTCTTTTTTTCTCTTTTCCAGTAATTGCCCTTCATTTCTGGCTGCTGCTTTAGCTAGAGCAACTTCAGATGAAGTCCTTCAGAGTGATCTTTCAGCACACTACTTACCAAAGCATGTGGACAATGCTGATGGGATTATACGTAAGTACATCTGTGCATAACAGCGTGCAATTGCATGTGTTGTGAATCTTTCTTTTACACCACATACCAGAATGTCTTACAGATAATTCTTAGATCTTAAATTCATCAGTGCCTTGAGTGATCCATCTAGTCTGACCATTTGATTTGGTACTAGATTTTCCCCACATTAGCTCCTGCTATCAGTTAGCTAAATAAGGTTGGACTTCACTCCTAACATCATCCTCCATTGTGATATAAAATAATGGAGAATTTACCACACCCCAGACAGCACTAGTGGCTAGTTTCCTAGTCAAAATTTTCTTAGTTTTGACTCTTAACTTGTCTAATTTCAACTTTTACCACTGAATTATCTTTTTTCATTTTATTCCTTTCTCCAGCTATACTCGAGCCTTTTATTGAATTTTTGCTCTATAGACCAGATCTAAATCACTCCTTTATTTTAAGAGCATCTCTGTAAGGACTAGGACTATATCTGGTGGCCCTGGATTTCTTGATTAGCACTTGCAACAACATGTCCTGCTGCTTTCCTCCTGGCAAGCACAAGTTGTTCTTCTTCATCCTTAGAGGAAAGTCAAGTATGTGTAGGAAGAGATTACGAAAATAATTCAGAATTAAGTTTAGCTTTTACTACAGCTCATTTATTTATTTTTTACTTTCAGCAAAGGGTAATACAAACATATTTCATGCTGAAGAGGAAAAATTCCTTTTATCCGTATATCTTTGTTAGCTATCAAAATGTTGGCAGCATCCAGCTCAAGGCTGTGTACTTTCCATGCATTAAATAATTTCATAATTCTGCTGACTAAACAGTCTTGAAAAACTTTCTGGGATGCTCATTATGACACAGAGCAATGTTCCTCATGCTTGCTGAGAGGAATTCTGCCATTCCATCTGGAAAATACTGTTGCCAAGCCACTTTGCCCATTCCCTCCTTTTCTGATTTAAAAAAAAAAAAAAAAGGGGGGGGGGATTCTGGGGATAAGTAAGAAATATAAAATTGGCTATTTGAAAATTAAGATGCTGGTGAATTTCTCAGAAGCCTTTGGAAAACTGAAAAACATGTGATGGGTTCCCTTTTTTAGGTATTGCTGCCTCCTCCTGCTGAGCAGGTAAATGGAATAGATTTGTCATTGTTCTGGCTGAGCAGCCTTCATTAATTTCAAATTGAGATCTCAGAGACTTGCATAAATATTTGACAGTCTCCAAGGAAATGTTGACTAAGCCTCCACGCTGAATATCTAAAGAGTTCAACAATAAAAAAAAAATCACACCTACAGAAATTTCCATTTAAATCTATTTAAATCTGTAATATACAGATGCCAACAGAGATTGGGTGGCATGTGTATGGGCTGTAAGCAGCAGACACTGAAAGTTTGAGACTTCAGACAGTATGTTGAGTTCAATTGTCATAATGAAGGTACTTAAAGATGAAATATCTCTTTGCAGACTCATTGTGAGGTATTAAAATATGAAAATAAGGAGGTAGAGAAAGATAGAGAATGTATTCTGGACCATAGTAAAGCAATGGCTTAATATAAATACTGCAATTTCACATATTTTCACACAAGAAATGTACAAGGTTTCTGTAACCAAGACAAAAATTGGTCATTGACTAGTCAGAAACCAGAGTTCTTATGATCAAGGTTTTCCTTAATCTCATCTCTGTGGCGTGTCAAACCTGAGTTCTGATCCCTGTTGTCACACTGCCCAGATTTTCAAGAGAGGTCTTAAAATTTAAGTACTAAAAAGCAAAATCTGATTACTGGTATTCTCTTTACTCTGATTTTCCTCTAAACCATGTCAGCGGTCTTTAGGAACAGTAATGCCTGAGCTGGATTTCCTACTAGCTGTGGTACAATTAAGCACTGCCTCCAACACCAGGGATTTTGGAGCAGCAGGAGGGAAATGAAATTCTCCATGACACAACCACAATGACAGCTGAGTCAGCTCTGGCTCAGTGCTGCTGCATTAACGAGTGATGAGTAATTTACAGCTGCGAGGGGGTGGTTTGACTTTTGTGGGCCTTTCTCCTGTTTTAACCTGAGGAGCAATTATTGATGAGGCTGACACTACACATACTCCCCATACTCCCTGTACTCCCTGCTGGGGAAGGATATTTAGGATTTCAACACAGCAAATCCATTTACTGCATTCTTCCTTCGGAGTCATGCTCTGAATTGTAACAGCCACATGACATTGAAGTGTACAGTGTTTCCCATTATATATGCCCATTGGAAAAAGAAATGGAAGACTAAATCTGTGGAGTTTCCTTCTGGAAAATATAACTTGGATGCTTCAGGCTGTACGTGTTCCCTCTTTAAATACATTATCCAGCAAAGAGATTTCTAGTGACACTGGTGGGAGTGGTATAGGTGTTATGGGAGAATTGGTATGCATTACTGTAATGGTGGTGGGATGACCTGGTCATTTGCTTTTATTCATTTTATTTCTTGAAGCTATGTGACCAAGAAGACAGGACTCCTCCTTTTGGTTACATATGTAGCTTATTTCCAACTTCATGATTGCTCTTGCAGGTCAAGCTTGAACCAAATGATAATCAGCAGAAACCAGGATATATTTGCTCCTAGAGATCTTGACTTCTGAATACAGCTCATGTCTTGTGCAGACCTAGTACTGAAATCAGTAAATGCTGCTTTATAGGTTCTTTACAGAATTTCTGTGAACTGAGAGATGGTGTAGCCTCCTCTCCTTATATACAGCTATTCTTCTGTGAGCAATGACTGACATTTAGGGATTGTTGTTCAACTTTGAAGATCTCTGGCATTGGTGAATGGTCAAGATAAAGGAGATTTTGATATGTTCAGCTCTGATGCTTACTGTTTTCCTTCCTTGAACTTCAGAATGACTGCAAATGCCTGAATTTTCACATTTAAAAATGACTGTTTTTCAACAGTGACAGAACAGCATTTTCTTAAATGTAAGACCTTCGCAGTTTTCTCATTTGTGCAGACTTGACACACTGTTGATTCAGGAACTGACAATAATATTATGAAACTGAGAAGGTACCTAAACGTGTACACTGCTGAAAGATCTTAAAGTAATGCTATTATTTCTGCAGCTCATTTACTGTATTGCCTCAGTTCTGCAGCGAGATGTTGTTTTTAATGGGCACTTTGGTCTCAAACAGTACCTGGCTGTGATGGTTTGTGCTTTCTGTGTGTGATCCTGTATGCCATGCAGTCCCTATCAGAGTGGCTATGCCACCCTGTGCAGAGTTACACAGGGGATCAAATGCTAAGGGAAACACATTGCTTTTCATTTTTCCTGATTCTGCAAATGAGTTCCCAAAGGCATGGGGGCATGTTTAAATTAAAAAGACAAACGATGAGCTTCTCACTGATGAATGCTGATTATGATAAGTTTGGCTTTCTCTTTTCATGTATCAGCAGCCAGAATTTCCCTCCTGACATCCATCTCAACTACTTGGCAAAAATGGTTTTGTTTCATCTTTGTAATGTATGCAAGAGAAAAAATCTCAATAACACTCTCAGCCTTTTTTTGTGTGTGGTTTTTGTTTTCCCCAGAGATTGAGACAGTGAAACTAGCCCGCTTAGTTTTTAGCAAACTCCATGAGATCTGCAGCAACTGGGTGAAAGAATTCCCACTCCAGCCAAAGCCACACCGCTATTATGAGACGTCCATCCACGCCATCAAGAATATGCGGAGGAAAATGGAAGACAAGCATGTCTGCATTCCAGACTTCAACATGCTCTTCAACCTTGAGGTAAAGTGAGATTGTGTGGAAGATAATGAATACATTCGCCATTCATGGGGGAACTAGACAGTCTTCTACTGTGAAAATGTGAACCATACCTGTGGGGGACCTGGGAAAGATTGGATGTCAGGAGGCAAGCCTGGTTGTAAGTTAGTTCAGTTGATTCTGTAATTATAGCAGCTATATGACATGCAGTTTCTATGTAGTGTATATAGAATAAAAGAACAATATCTGCTAAAATGCCACCTAACTAAACACAGTATGTATGTGCCCTATCCTGATGTAACCATTCATGCAATGGCTGAAGAAGTGACCTGCCATCGTGCAGAAAGCATGATGTAGTGTTTTTTGATGGAACTGGCAGCCAGACTTCCCTTTTCTATCAGCCATCAAGTGCTCATGCTTGCTCTTCCTTCAGATATAAAACTGGACACTGAGGAGTATCAAGCAGAAGAAGGTGGCAAGAAATTTACCATTGAGATCAGATTGCTGCATAACTGATTCTTTATTACATTCTGTCACTTTAATAACCATTTTCTGTGCCCTATCCAAATTCCTACCTTTAAATGATACTAATGCAAGCAGAGGCAGATGTTTCCTCTGCCTGTCAATTGTCAGCTTTCTTATTCCAGTTTGTGTTGGAGCCTGTTACTTAAAAATTACAATGTACAAATACTCCAGTCATTGAGATGGCTGTCAAGGTTGAATTGGCACTGACAGTGGGTTGGTGTGTTATATGTATGAATAGGCACAAGAGTTGCTGTCTCTGGGTGCAAGGCATTGTTTCTTTGTTTGAACAGATAAGGGGAAGCAGAGAAAATGTGACTCTAGGATGAGTGATTCTGCTGTACTTGATTTGTGAATGCAATCACATTTAATTACCTGATGAGCGGATACATATGGGTATTTTAAAAACAGGCATCTAAAGTGATGTGGATTAGAATTAAAAAAAAATAAAAAGAGAGAGAAAGCAAGCAGAGGTTAGCTGGCTTCACATTTTAACTGTTCTGGCATTTTATCCCTAGTGGATTTCAGTCTTGATGGAGACTTCACATAAACTGTATTGGATGTTCTTCTTCGCTCTCTGTGATTTTCAGAGTCACAAAAACTTCCCTCTATTTGATGGGAATGGCACTTCCTATTTGAGTTGAGTGACTGAACTGTAGCAAATGGAACATAAGGAGCACTGAGAGAGCTATACAGGTGATTCTTGCAGGGCATTTCCTGCCATTTGCAGGTAGAATTCATTAGCAGTGAAGTGGGAATTTTTGTCCATATTTCCCTTTGATGCAAGTGGAAATAGTCTTTGTACTTTGTTTTTCCAGTGGAGATTGCCTGTAAGTGCAGTTTAATGCTGGTGAATGCTCACAGAGGACATAACAAATCTCAAGTTCAAAAATTTCAAGGACAATCTAATTAACTGTTTGCATTGCTTTCTCCTTTAGTTGTTTTCTCAATGTGTTTTCATTGACAGGACCAAGAAGAGCAAGCCTATTTTGCGGTGTTCGATGGCCATGGGGGAGTGGATGCTGCCATCTATGCCTCCATCCATCTCCACGTGAACATGGTCCATCAGGAGATGTTCCAGCACGACCCGGCAGAGGCGCTGTGCCGAGCTTTCCGGGTGACGGATGAGCGCTTTGTCCAGAAGGCAGCCAGAGAGGTGACTGAGTTATAGGGGAGACAAAGGCTTGACTCTGAAAGTATTAATTGACTAATTAAACAAAACAAAATCTCATACTCATGAATATCATACTCATAAGAGAGACACAACTTTCCAGCACATCAGGCTATTGAAACAAGACTTTGACAGGAACTTTGTTAGCAGGGGTGCACTAAGTGCTGTGCACAGCCTGGGGTCAGCAGGGGGCTGTCCATGCACAGTCCGTAGAGCTGATCCCACTGGTGATCTTCATGTTCCATAAAACCTCATTCCATGCACTTCTTACAACATCCAGTTCATTAAGAAGGATGCTGCTATTCTTACGCTCAGACACTAACTAGGTTTAGTCCTTGGGGTGTTGTGGGTTTTTTTTCCCCTCATTTCTACAATGTAAATCTTCCTTAGCTCTAAAAAGCTTGAATAAACTGATTGCTTCCTCAGCCTCCTAAACCCATGTAACAGCTGGGTTAAGTGGAGAACTTGAGATGCAGATAGGAATCTAGCATAGGAAGTCAACTAAAACAGAAGCAGATCTCACTAGCTGAGCCCGGCTTCTGAAATGCAATTCCAGTTCAAGACAAGTCATAGGCAAAAATCAGTGACTCGCAGTGGCCCTGAGGGGCTCCTAACAGTCAGAACAGTAAGGAAAGTGCTGCCCTGTTTCTCCTTGGGGAACAGGCTGCATGCACTTTAGAAAATCAACATGTTCTGTTCTTGAGTTAAGCAGAAAAGTGCTTTGAAATTGTTCTCATTGTCTTACTTAAAACTATAGGCATATTTTTTTCCCATCCAGAGCCTGCGTTGTGGAACCACTGGGGTGGTGACTTTCATCCGAGGGAATATGTTACATGTGGCTTGGCTTGGGGACTCGCAGGTTATGCTTGTGAGGAGAGGCCAAGCTGTGGAACTGATGAAACCCCACAAACCAGATCGAGAGGTGAGAACAGCTTGTTTTAAATCCACCTGGGCAGTGTTTACCATGGAAGCTGACAGATGTCATTGTGATATGGGCTGTTTGGATGCTGAGTGTCATTTTGTCAATGCCTCTCACAGAGACAGAGTGTGTTCCAGTTTATCTGATTTGATTGGAAGTTAGTATGAATTTGTGTGCAAACCCTTTGTTCGCATCTCAAGGGGCTTGCAGCCCTCACCCTGCTGTGTTTTGTGGAAAACATCAGGTACTTGTTGAAGCATTCAGAGGGAAAGTACTAAGAGCTCTATTCAACCAACTCCTGTGCTGTCTTGCTGTTTAGGATGAGAAGAAACGCATCGAGGCGCTTGGTGGCTGTGTGGTCTGGTTTGGAGCCTGGAGGGTGAATGGGAGCCTGTCAGTCTCCAGAGCTATTGGTAAGAATGGGCTTTAGTTCCATTTTCTGCCTTGCTTTTGCTTTTTATCAAAACTTCTTTCTAGTAATCAAAACATGAAATGCAGCTGAAGACAGAACTGTGTGCACTGAACCTCTATTTTTGCCTCAAGTTTGAGGGGCTGTTCCAAATAATTTCTAACCTGAGGAAGAGAGAGCCATTCGCTCTATGCTGTGTTAATAAAAGGGCTTCCAGATGCTGCAGTTGCAAACCCACGGTCTTGTGTACGTGTTGTTTTTCCACAGGGGACGCTGAGCACAAGCCATACATCTGTGGGGATGCAGACTCTGCCTCCACTGTACTAGATGGCTCTGAAGACTACCTCATTTTAGCCTGTGATGGTTTCTATGACACGGTCAATCCCGATGAGGCAGTCAAAGTGGTGGCTGACCATCTAAAGGAAAATAATGGTGACAGCAGCATGGTAGCACACAAATTAGTGGCATCTGCTCGGGATGCCGGTTCCAGCGACAACATTACTGTCATTGTGGTATTTCTCAGGGACATGAATGCAGCAGTCAGCGTTAGTGAGGAGTCAGACTGGACAGAGAACTCTTTCCAAGGTGGGCAAGAAGACAATGGGGAGGATAAGGAAAACCATGGAGAATGCAAGCGACCGTGGCCCCAGCACCAGTGCTCAGCACCTGCTGACCTAGGCTATGAAGGACGAGTGGATTCCTTCACTGATAGAACTAGCTTAAGCATAGGGTCTGGCATTAACGCATTTGATGATCAAGGTTATTTAGACCTGACAAAAACAGAAACTAGTACGCCTAATAGTGCCAAATACCTGCCACCAATTCAAGTGTTTAGTCCTGGTATACCAAAGAATGCAAGTTTGATTAATGGTTTAACAGTGAAGAATGAATCACCAGAGAGCACATCATGGATCTGTGGACAGAACAACCCCGGGGAGTACAGCGCTCCTCTTGGTTTGCATGCTGCAGAGGAGAGCATCTACAGGGTGAAGGGTTTAACCCCCATCTTCTTTGGGCTGGAAGATGAACTGTCCAAGTCCTTGGGAAAACGAGTTGCATTCTTTCATTTCCGATTCTGTAACGGGAAGAGGAGACGAGGAGCCAGGCTCAAACCAAAGCTTCACACGCCGCTCTTGGCTCGTGAGCCTTCCCACAGAGAGGGGTCAGGTCTGCCCTTGCCTGTCCGAAGCCGTGGTAGCACGAGGCTGTGGGTAAGACACTCCCCGTGGTGGAGGCTGCCTAGTCCTAACGCTTACAGTGAGAGCATGTTTTTGATGCGAAGACAAAGTCATTGTATACCAGATGCATACCTTCATCAATGCTGTAAGATGTAACTGTCTCCCTTGTGTTTCCCCTTCAGACTCCCAAAATAGACATTCCCAAAATAAAACTGGCATCATCAGGAAGCGAAAAAAGGTGGGCATTTTCAGAAGTGTGCTACAGTCCCCTGCAAAGCTCAAACCATGTGTAAATAGATCTAGGAATTAACAAATATAGTTGTTTCAATTTCCACAAGGTTTGCTGGTGGTGCCACCCGAGCAATGCCACAGCCACCCGCACACACAGTATCTAGTCACACTCACCAGTGAAAGCTGAATAGCTGGGTCCTGGGAACAGACACTGGGAGGGAACAGTCCTTGAAACTGCAGGAAGGTGGACCCACCTGAGATGCATCTATGGAGCAATATGTCAAGAAAGATTCTGGTTTAGAACTGCCAATTTTTTTTAGAGTGGGGAGGAAGTTTCCATAGAAGTCCAGGTTGTGTGGGTTATTTTGTGTTCTGCTGTTCTGCTTTCTGTTTATTTCAGGCTATCATTAAGATGAATCAGAAAATTACATCCACTTTTGCAGGTAAAAGACTAAAAGCCATACAGGGTTTTACCAGGTAACTTAGGAATGGACAAACTAAGCTCCTGCTACTCTGTTCTCAGACTCCGATTGAGGTACAGACTCATAATTTACCTATTTTTTTCTTGTAAGATAAAATGTGGAATATGAAGAAAACTGTTTTTGTAGTTTTTAAAAAATATATATTTCCTATGGCTAGAGGTGCAGCATAGGGAATTTCGTATATTTCTGGTGCTTTTAGTGGCATTTTTCTTCTTTGTCAGTTTAGGAAACTGTTCTCAGTTGGTTTTGATCAAATATGATTGTGCTTCATGCTTTGAGCCAACCTCTTTCCACCGTAACTTCATCTCAGGTCTTAAAAGAAACCACATCTGTGGAGATGTTCAGTACAGTACTACTGTCACTCAACAAGGCAAATCAGAGAACTGCTTACTAGGAATAACGAGCAATTCAGGAGCTGTTTGGCTGCAGTAATGATTTCTAGATGGCAGTGGCATAATTGAATATCGGGTTGCAGCATGAAGGACAGTCAGATGCTGCATCTACAAGGAGCATCAGTGCTGCAATTTGATGCTTTCCACAATGTGTCAGAAGGGCTGCTGGAGCAATCCAAAGCAAATGGAAATGCCATGGATGCCTATGAGCAGGGGATGTGCTTGGGGCTTAGTGCAGGAGGTAAAATTCTCTGACAATCCACAGCTCTGCTTTGGTTAAACCTGAATTCAGAAAGACAAGTGAGGAATGTCAGTAGACCCTATACTAATTAGCAGAGAGCTGCTGATCAAACTTGGGATCAGACAGTGCCCGCCAGCTCTGCCCTGCTCTTGAGGTGATGTTAAACCCTTAAGGGAGCATTGAATGAGGACGTAAGTAAGCAGGCTATTCCCATCAGCTCCACTGAATAGGCATCCTGTTACTATTATTTGTTACAATAAGACGCTTGGAGGAGTATGAATAAATAAGTCTTTGTGAGCATTTATTGTACAATTCATATCATTTTAGCAGTAATAATTTAATAACAGTATTAGTATTTAGCTAGTATTTGCAAAGTATTTTAATATTAAGTAGTCAGGAGATTATCCAACACAAAGAGATGGCAAGGTTTGAATTCCGCCAATTTCTGCTTCTTCTGTCTTTTGATGCACTATTTTAAAAGCAATTTTATGAATAGCAAAAGGCTTTGTGAGTAACCAGGAGTTGGAGTGTGGCTTCAGATTCCTTTGATCTTTTTCAGACTTTTTTTTAAATCTTGTGGGATCATTGGCTCTTATCTGTCATCTTAGTAAGCCTTAGCTGTTGTCTCTGTTCTCTTTAGCTGCAGCATATGTTCCAAGTCAGATTTACTAAGGAAATTTGAGAAACGGTGAAATATGCAACTCTGGGGCATCTCTATGGTGCCTTTGTGTTAAATTATTCACAGTAATAATAATGCATTGAAAGTCCATCTTATAGCTGACTCATGTGTCTGAGAAGAATGGTGGTGGTGTAAGTGCAATTCTTTGTATGATTAAACTAGAATGGCAAACTGTTACGGATGACAAAACTTCTTCCCAGCCTGCTGGAGCAGTTGAAGAGCACTGGACTGCATGTGTGCTGTTTGGGGAAGGATAAAGCTTTTTAGGTGTGGGTTCATCAACAATAACTCTGCTACTCATACCATCTATCTTGCTAGGACAACAATCTGCCATCGTAGTTCCAGTGTGGTCAGGTTAAAAAAAACAAACAAACAAACAAACACAAACCATTGTATAGATAACAAGTGTTCATTTCTTCACTAAATGCATATTTATAGAGTAGATAGGAACCATTTGTAAGGTAAGTCCTTTAAAGTTCTATAATATTAAAGTAGTGGTTATTGGTCTGATATATGCTGCTCTTGATTCTACACACTAGACAAAAAAGCAGTGCTTTGTGAAATGCAGTGTTTTCTCTTAATGCCACTGGTGATAGGAAGTAGTTCTCTTCAGTTCAGAATCCTGTGCCCTTATTTGCTGCTTGCTAACGTAAGCAATAATCCCCCTCTAATGGTATCTAAGTGTTCTGTATCTCGTACTTTGATTGTCTATCTGGTGACAATGTAAAAATATTAGGCTAATATAAAACTATTTAATTGTATTTATTAACTGTTGATACTGAGATCGTCTGTGACCTGTGTTTTGTATTTTTATCGTGTATCTTAGTGGTGGAATTTGTATCACAAATCTTTCCAATAAAGAGCTGAAGTATCCCTTTCTGCATTAACACAACCCGCATCAGTTTCAGTTTACGTATTGAGCGTGTTTGCAGAACTAGGAGGTAGGTAGTGAAAACGTTTCTTTTTTAATTTATGCTGGTTTTGAGCAATGGGCTTCAGGCTGCCTGAAGCTGCTCCAAACTTGCTTGTATGCTATTCACTGTGAGTGCTAGAGGGGTTCACTTCATCCCCACTCTGTTATGTTTCCTGTGCACACTTTTTAAATGTGCAACTCTGAGGAATGTCTGCGTTGCAGAGAGCAGTATAGCACCAGACCAGGGAGCTGTTAACCCATTTCAATTTGCACTAAAGGTGGGTGGAAACGCATGTATATAACTTTTCTTTTACCTAGAAGTGCCATCAATTGTCCTTGCAACTAAAAACCATTCAGTATTTGATTTAGATTGCATTATTAACACTGAAGGACAATGTCAAAGCAGACTAACTTATGCCACATTTATAGTGGTACACTGTCATAGAAACTCCACTCTGTTTTTGGAACACTGTGTGTCAGTGAGAAATGCATTGTCCTATGGGCAGATAAGATGAGGCATAACAAGTTCCGTGCTTAGAGATATGACTGCTGTAGTTCAGGTCCACTCTCTCTTCACTAAATCTTCCCTACCCTGGCAATGGTCTGCAGGAAAAAATGTAAGAAAGATTGGTCTAAATTAGAGGCTGTTTTAGCACAATTTATTCACTCAGCACTAGTCCCATAAGCAAAGCCATTAAGGGGGATACCCCAGCTTTGTTCATGCCTGTAATTTAGGGCAATCTTTCTTCAATTCATACCTTCTTTACAACAGGAACAAAAACTCTCTACCCTTGTACTGTGCAATAAGTAATAATGAAGCACCAACACAACCTCCAAATGTACATATTCTTTTCCAGTCCCTGATAATCAGGCAATCGCACTATAATACTTGCCAGCATTAAAGCTAAAGAAAATATAAATCCCACCTCTTAGGGTCTAGTACAACTATTGTATGTCACAACTGCATCTCGTTAGTGGTTCTTTTGTTTTTTGTTTTGTTCTCTCCCTCTCCTTCACTCCAGCAGAGATCCTGAAATGGGAACAGGGGAAGCTGGCTGAGCCCACCCTGCGTACCTCCGCTCGTAGATGGCCAGGTGTGGGTCAGCTGCAGCACTGGGTGCTCCTGTTGAACCATCTGTAGTACCTGTTTGTGAAACTAACTTGTTCTCTATGCCGTGAATAAATTAAAGCTCATCATTTAGCAGTGTTGGGACTTTCCCTTCACAATTCTGTTCTACAGTTCACATATGAGTTTATAGTTATAACCATGTATTAGTCATCCATATTTTATTTATGAAGCTGTTTATACGAAAACTGTTGAAGTTTTACCAGTATCTTAATAAAACAGTAATTTAAACCACGCTCCAGCTTGTCTGTTCCTTTAAAAGCTAATAAAGACACTTCATCCAGATGGTGGTTGCTGTCCTCATTTTGATGAAAGATTTTCTTTGTGCTATATGGAGAAGAAATTCTATATAGAGAAGAAAACATAACTCATTGCTGGGCTACAAGGTGGGGTTGCTGGGAGAAAAACTGCCCATTGCAGCTCATGGGTGATCTGTTTTACAGGTACACAGGCAGTGTGTGTTACAGCACAGGCACTTTCAGGACCAGCTCCAGAATCAGTCCCTTCACTAAGGCTTCTGAACCCGTTTCCCTATCTCTGGCATAAAATCAAGCAGCATGCAAGTTCTTCATGAGGTCAGCAAGGCATGAGAACACTCTTCCTCCTGTCCCTGCAAATGCTGGGCACCAACTCCAGAACAGATGATGTGGCTAATTCAAATAGTTTCCTTCAGCTTGGGCCCTTAGTAAGAGTAAAGCATCTGTGAGTGTTGAAGAGGCAGAGCTCAGCAATCACTGCTAATTGAGCTGTATGTAATAATCAACATGCCACTCTGTGCTCATAGTGTGCAGCTCAATGCAGGCCCAGTACTCAGCAGCAGGAACAAGGTGTGCATAACCCACAGCAAAGCTGCAGCTCCTTCCTTCAGCTAAGCAGCAGAAAGACTTACTGCAGAAAGAGCAGCATGGGGCAGAAACTAAGGAAGAAGGAGGTTCTACTTGAATGCACAGTTTTAGAATTCTCTATGGACTTTCATCAAATAATTCAAGACAAAAAAGAAGTCAGCACTACCACAGAAGAAAGTTCTATACTCAGCCAGGCATCACCACCATTCACTGCTGAAGAACAAGTCAAGCTTGATAACAGGGCACTGCTGCTCCCAACAGATGGTCTCTGTTATATTCCATATTTACAAACATCTCAAACTTCGCACCAGATTTTAACATTCATTTTATTAACAAAGTGCAAACAGTTTTAAACTATGAGTTGTACAGCACTTACACTGTGGGACATTCATACAAAAATGAACACCAGTAGTCAGATGAGACGAGGGCAACTATCAGATACAGTTATTCATGCTTTTCCACTAATCAGTTATTCAGCTTTCATCATAGCTTCACAAGTAGTTTAGCAGCTCAAAAATGCAATGCACAGCGGCAGAAAGTTTGGCAATGAGTTCAGGTTGGTCCACATCACAGACTGAGGAAAACAACTTCTGTGCCCACCACTTCAGCCCACCTCCATCCGCTGCAGCACAGGGAGGCAGCAGTCTCACACCATCCATTCATACCCTTTACAGCAAGGACATTCAGACATTGACTATTATTCCAGTGACAACAGAACGCATCCTGGAACAGGGCTCCAGCACCTTCTGGACATCTTTACAGGGCAGCTGGAGCTGGCAGAGCCAGCAGGAATGCAGCCTTTACAGTGAGGCCTTCAAAGGTCATTTTGCCCCAGTAACAGACTTAAGATGACTGCAGATGAACCACAGAATGGTATGACAGAATGGAGTGCACACACAGCCATGAACAACAGCCTTGGACTAAGCTCCAGTGAATAAATGTATGTCTTCCCAGGACGTGACCCAGCAAGTCTTCAGGCCCCAACGCAGTCCTCTATCTGGTGCAAAGAAAGCCAGCTTTCAGTGATACCCTCATACTAGGGTACCCCTAAGGCTTCAACAGACAGAGCCTGACAATCCAAAAAAATCTACACTACATTCCAAAACCCAACCAGAGCTCCCTACTGGTAATTACATAAGCATGCTCAACTCAGCTGCTCTCTCCTCAGCACCACGTCATTTCTAAGGACTGCCTTAAAAGCACAGATAGCTGAACAGCCATGAGGAGGCGGGTCAGCCACACATCTCCCTGTGGCAGGCTGTGCAAACACCCATCTGTCTACTGGAAATAAAAGAGGAACATTTCCTTTAATTTCTGCAGCTCCAGGAGCAGCAGGGAAAGGTGCATCCTGCATCCCAGGGCTACAGCCACTCCAGCAGCCAGCTAAGGCAAACAGTTAGAAATACCTGGTGGTGTCTTCTCCATTAACAAAGCTGCGGTCATCAGAACCAACTTGATCACCTCCTGGGAACACTGAGCACCGCTCTGAAGCTGAAAACAAACAAACCAACATTTGTCACCTTCATCAGGTGAGCAATTGGAACAGAGCAAGTTCACTTTCCATCAGCTGCAAGCACTGCTGTATCGTCCTTAATCACCAACACAGCTGTACCCAATGCCTTTGACACTACATTAGGACTGCCACGGGGCTTTAATTTAAAGATCACTTCAGTCAAACACGGATATGAGCGATGCTTTGATTATTCTGAGTTGTCAAGTTTTAGTGCCTGCTGCAGACATGCAACAAAGCAGTAAACCAATTACTTAAATGAGCTGTTAGGTCATGCTGCTAATGCTGTGCGAGATACTTACTCGAGCCAAAACCCAGCGTCATCCAGCATCACCTTACAGGTTTTAATTTCATCAGAAGGTTAAAGCTTTTCAGAGAAACATCAGTGCTGTTTTAAAAACTCATCTCAGGTGCTCAAAGCACACTCCTGCCAATTAAGATGCAAATTCATGCCTAAGACATTGGTTATGTCCCTGAAGTTGCAGCCTACTTAGTATCAGTGCTGGTACATAGGGAGTTCCAATTCAGGAGGACTAGAGCTATGGGTTTTCCAACGCTTCCCCTGGGAAACTCACCTAAGCTGACTTCTCAAGGCTACAAAGAGTTCCTCTCTCCTGTTTTGATCTGTTTTTAATTAGGATCCCAAGAGAGGAGTTCTAAATCTTATTGGCTCTTACTTGTGCTTAATACCTCTAAAGCATCACCACTAATCTCTGCCTCAGCAGCAGCCTGCATTAACAGGCACACTGAGGCATCCACAGGAGCACCTGGGAAGGTTTGCTCACACAACCTATTTACCTTCACTTGAGGACTGCACAGAGAAGGCATGGTTAAACCCCTCCGATGTGGAGTTAGCATCCTCCTGCTCTTCATTTTCTGTGTCACATTCAATGTCACTGTCACTGCTCATTCCTGGCAGGAGATGAAGGACATGCTTCTGACATGATCCACCTGCCAAAGAAATGAAACAAATCAAACAAAAGCAAAAACAGTGGTAAGATCTCATAGCTAAAGCGTTTGATTTTCTCACATGCAAGAGTTATCAGATACCAAGAAAAAGCACGTTCTGAACTGACTGTATTTACTAGAGCACTAATGAAATTGACAGAACAGCAGGGAACAGCTTTGGAACCAGTCTAGTTTTGCAGTGCAGTGTAACTTAAGAGGAGCAGTTCCAACATGTCACCAGCTGAGTGCAGACTCAGGTTCCTTCCTGTCTGAGCTGCACTCCCTGCCAGCTGCTCTACAAGTAGGACAGAATATAAAGGTGGCTTTTTGAAGGTAAAGGATACTGCAACCATCTACTCAGATATACCAACCTGCTGTTCAAGCAGCAATACTCTGTTACGTGTCCTTCCTACAAAAGGGAACTGCAGCTCTCAGTAGTCAAGGTAGTTTGTTTTATTTTGCCAGAACATGAGAGTACATTGGAATCAGGCAAAGACCTCCACCTCCCTTTCAACCAATTTTAGGGCTGACCAAAGGAGCACATTCTGCTCTTCTACTTCTCCAGAGTTGATACTCTTTGCAAAGAGAAAGCAAGCAGTTAAGTGAGATGCCAACTCTACTGTAGTTTTTCCTCTGAAAGGAAGAAGTAATATTTGTTTCCCAATGTTTTTAACAATGAAGTATTTTAGTTTTTAAAACATTTTCCTGTTAGGACTCTCTGCTATAATAGGAGAACTGCAGGAGCACATCATGATCACGCTGCAGTGACTAAGAGCAGAAATTCAGTTTTGTCACTGAGAGACCTTCTGTAAATGCCAACTCCCACACAATATTGCACACTGCAGATAGAGATGGATGCTGGCACCTTAATATAGGCTTTGTGCTACAATTCAGTCATTGAAATTCAAATTAGTGCAGGGGTGGAAGGCAGGAGAGTTTTAGCAAGATAAGAAAAAAACTCTTTTACGTGGACTTTCAAAAAGAATGCCAATAATACTTTTTTCCAGCACGGAAAGGATGCAGGAAGGGAGGGGGGGAAAGTTTCCTCCAAGTCTCTAAGGAAACTGGTTTATGTACCACAACACCCAGTACAAATGGACTACTGAAGGAGGGATTCTAGTGCAAATGTGGAGGTAGTTATCACTGTGGTGTGTCCCTGAAAGCAGAAGACTTAAAAGTCAAGGTCCTGATTACTAGTTTAACTAAATAAGAAGTTATTTTCAAGGTCATGATAATAACCAGCACAGCAAAAGACCCTGAGGTACATCAAGAGGTAAAAAAAAAAAAAATGAGTCCAGAGAAACAGAAGGCACCTTGTCACATTACCTGCTAGGTCTTTACATTCATGCTGTACCATAAAATCACTATTCATGGACAGCAGTGGCACAGAGTTGTTCCCCCCCATTTAGATTTATACTACAGCTGCTAAACGTTACAGCAAAGTTTAACAGCCATGGAAACAGCTGTTGTTTTTCCATCCTTTCCCCTTCAAGTTACTTCCATTACAGAAATAATCATAGACTGGAAGCACTGTAACACTGCATTCATCATCCTTTACAACATCCAAGTTACCTTCTTCTGGTCCTGCTGAAGCACCCTCAGGAAGCACACCCTGCAGATCACCAGTTTCAGAGCTGTCTTCCAAACCTCCTGACTGCGTCCCCTCTGTGCGATATCCTTTAGAATTTGACCTGAAAGAGTTTAGGAGAGACACAGAAATCCACATTAGAAATTTGGCTTTCACACAACTCTGGAAAAAAAAAAAAACTCCTTTCAGGTCACATCTTGTTTAATTCATTGTCACATTCACTCCCAGCTTTGAGTGATTTAGAAGTATTTAAAATCTCAAAAAACCCTCAGCATTTATGGTGAATATATGTTAAGAAAGTGATTTTTTGTTATTTAGAAAAAAATTAAGCACTCCATTGCACTTGGCTTAGTTACACAACAGTTATTATGAAACTGCTGAAAAGTCACAGTGAAGAATTTTCTCTGAAGAAATGTTCAGTGAGATGATATTATGGCACAGAATTGTGGAACAGGAGACCGTGCCCACCTTTCTAATCAAAGTAGCAGACTACATCAACAGCTGATCAAAATTAAAGAAAAAAAGAAGAAAAGTACAACTTGTACTCTGGTTACAGAACCAAAAATTGATATCCATACGGAAGAACAGCAACCAATTAAACTTTGAAGCAATTCCTCTTCTCTGTTACAAGCACTTCACTTCAGCAGATTGGGATTTTTTTCTTCAAAGATCAAGGGAAAGGAGAGAAGGAAGGACAAGACGAAGGGGAGAACACACAAAAATCCTTACCCTAGAGCACCAGATTTTCTGGTCTTCTCCACAGCAGCTAAACCATTTAAGCCAGAAACTCCCACATCAGAATCTGACCCTTCACAAGGCCTTTCCTCTGGCTTAGGCAGTGCCTCAGAAGCATTACTGCTAACCAGGGGCCTGGGGCAGTGATGCCGACTGCTTGACTTTGAACTGCCTACTCCACCTGAGAAATGAGGGAGAAATGCTGAAAGCACACCCGCTTTTAAGAGAGTAAATCCAGTCATTTTACATCACTGGTTCAGTTCCAGACATGTGTACAAGCACACCCTCCACTACAACCTTACATTTTTAAGCATCACACAGAATGCAGGTACCATCTGTGCACATTCTCTGACCACACACACAGTCTCTGTTTCCCCATCTCACGCAGTTAAAGTTCATCTTCTAGTAACACTCTTCACTATTTTTCCCAGTTACAGATGCAAGGTTGTTTGGCAGCAGGAAAGCAGCCACTCAAGCTGTGAATGATGCTGAAGTCAGGCACAGTGGTTGGTTACACCGCATGCACCATCTTCATGTGCTTCCCACAGCAGACCACTACCAGAGGTCTGTGCTGGTACAGCAGCACTAATTACATTTGCAAACAGATCCAGCCACATTTCAGCCACATACAGGACTCCTCAAAAACAACAACTTTTGTACAACAGATGCAACACACCACAGAGTACAGATGACCTTGCTTACCTTCACAAGTTTGCCCATCTCCCTTTAACCGAAGATTACTATCCCCACAGTCCATAGCTCTTCGGAGAGACAGACTCCCTGCTGCTCCGGAGCGAATAGGTTTGGGTGAATTACTCTTCTTACTCACAGCTGCAAACACAGTTTAAGATGCAACAAGTATTCAACCAAACTGCTTACAGCATTCTGTGTTTGTGCTCGTTTTAAGGGAAGTTAATGACTAAATGAGACCAACATGGAGCTCAACTCCCCACCGTGCACAAAACTCCTCCACCCTTTCTGTGGAAAGACATAGGATGGAGGAAAGCTTAAGTAAGCTGGGAGCTACCAGCCCCCAAGCTGGAAGGTAGAAAGGATAAGAAAAACTAAAAAAGTTTTCTCATGCTGTTTGTGACTTCTCAAATTCACTATTCCCTGAGCTTGTGGCAGTGCTGCAGGAACTTATCTAAGTGTAGGAATGAGGAGTGGTAACTGGAACAGCAAAATACCAGGTTTTGCTGTGATCACATCTCAATGCAAACCCTAAGATTGTTCCTTTTTTTACAGAGCATCTATGTCCCACTCCCTCCTCTGAGTACTTACAATTCCTGATGTAACAACTGGTCACTGAAGACTTGGTCAGTAGTTCCATTCCTATTTCTTGCAGCTTGCTGCAGCCGTCTGTTCCGCAGGCAGCTAAAGCACCTTGCTCGATGGAGAAGAAGTTGGGCTGCCCATCACACGAGCCAGCATTGCTGCTCCTTACTTCTGATAGTTGGTTTTTTACATCAGACATTTTGCTTCGTACTTCAGCCATCTGAGTTTTAAGTCTCTTCAGCATCTTCAAGTCAGGCGGCACGCGCCACATGGCCTGGTGCCTCCGCAGGTCTCGATCTTTTAGAGAGTATGATGATGCTTTACCAAGGAGAAGAGTTAAAGAACACAACAGGTAAGTAAACTGTTCTCAGATAAAAAAAATGGGCATTTATTTTTAATAGCCGTAAGAGTTTTACCTTTTGCCCTACTGTAGATAGGAGAGATAAGATGCTTTCTCTTGTACACCTACAGCACTGTAATTTAGGATGCTAGTATTGCACAACCAAGGAACAGCAGATCTCTATCCTCTGCCTGAGGAAGGGCATAGACCTTGCTCTTTACAAAGAGCAGGACCTCTGATACTATGGCATAAATTCTGATGACTGACCTACCCTATACTGCCAGACAAGCTTGAGTTCATGAGCCTGGTTGCTAGTTAAAAATGCCAAATTTGTTAAATGTTTCTATAAAATGTGTTAAAAGCCCATATAAGATTCTCATACCACCACCACCACTTCACATTAACATATAAAACTCAAAGAAATCTGAAACTAGAGGAAAAATTCCCTTAAGTACATAACACCACAAAATTGTGCCAAAGAACCAAGACCTGAGAAAATCTGCATGCTGCTTAGATAGAAATTGATCACCTTTGATGTCTGTTTGAAGTGCTATAAGTTCTATAACCGTATTATTGCAAATTCAGCTGTTCAGAGCTTTTAAAAACCTTCAACTTAGAAAGTGAAGCTCAGCAAACTCCAAATATATCCACAGCTTTTTCTTATTTGCATGACTTGAATAAGATCTGAGAACAGTCAAACCATACACATACATCAGCAGCAGGTAACTCCAGCTGCATGGCTTGTAGCTTAAGATGACCAACATCCCACTCAATACAAAAGATGAACCTAATCTTGCCTAAGTAGTACAGCTCAAAATGCAGCATCTTCTCAGTTTGACCTGTTGGATTTCATCACTTTCCTGCCTGAGCCTATGTCCTTTTTGCCCTTTGCTTGCTGTTTTACACAGTTTTCCAGTTTTAAGTGCCTTTTTCATAGAGAAGTTAATTCCAGGATTTATCTCCTCACTGACATACACTGTGCTCCCAGTAATCTCAACCACTAAATGTACAAATTGTGTGAAGCAAGAGGTGTAACTGTTTTCTCAGCAGATAGCTGTTTTGAGTTGTTTTGTCTTCCAGTGCTAACCCCTTCTAGAAAAGGGCCTTTCATTCATCTCCCACAGCTACTTTGAAATGAACTGCATGAAATGCATCACTACAATGTTAGTACACAAAACAGCCAGCCAGTTCAGTCACATCCCCTTAGACAAGGCAAGAAGATACTCCCTGATAAACACTTCTGTTTTCAGTTGAGTCATACAGCGTTCTCATGCTGAGGTCACCCATCAAGACAAAGAATGTGTTAAGATGCAGCATACTGATGAGCACAGATGAGGATATGAAGAAGTCTAGCTATCAGTGAAAATGATGGCCCGTCATTCTCTTTCTCCCTCTCCACAAATCTATTTCTGGAATTGCATTCTCAAGAGACAGTTCCAGTTTGCAAAGAAATTGAGATCTGATGTGCAGTTACCTCTGTTCTGTAGAAGAGAGGCAGGTGGACGTGGCTGGAGGCCCCAGAGGTTCTCCATACCATTTCTGTCTTTCAGATCCAACAGGTGGATTAAAATCAAGGGATCAATATCTAGTAAACTGCTGCTAGCTGCTGAGCCCAGGGCACTTCCTCCTCGCCTTGAAGGTCTTCCACTTGCACTGGTGTAGCCATGGCTGGTACCTAAGGAAGAGTTATGGGGAAACAGCATGCATGTAAATGCTGAGAGTTGGAAAGTTCAAGTAGATTAGGCATAAAAGCATTCCAAGAAATGTAACAAAATATCAGTGTTATTTCATCGACTTATGCATTCTGCAAGCAGTCAGATATACTTCAGCAATCTTTCAGCTAAGGATCGCCACAGGAGAGGAAGGGAGAAAAAATAAGTGTTTGGCTCATATCTTCCATGTAAATCTCTTAATAAATAGATTGAATAGATCAATTAACAAATCAATACAAAGAGCATTTATTCTCAAGGCACGCACATGAACTTTCTACCTTTTTCACCTTCCCCCTTAGATTTCCACTGCAGCATTTCTGGTGAATGTCAGTTCTGATCAGGTCATCTCTATGGTTATCTCTACCATAGAGAAATATGCATACATTCAACATTTCAGAATCTTATTAGCCTATTGCTCACAGTTTGGGTTATAATCATCTTCAGAAGGCATGAGATCTTAGAACACCTTTCTATTTTAACAATTTCAATATCTTTCTTCTTGACTTTTTAAGATTATTCACTCCCTTCCACATAGTTCAGGTTTTATAGTGCACAAAAATCTAGAGTGAATGCATCACATGCTCGGAGGCCACACAGATATGAGTAAAAAAAAATGTCTTCAAATTCATTTTATTGAAATTGAAGGATTTTTTCAGAAGGAGAGAAGTCTCCCTCCTAACTTCCACATATTTTAAACATCTCCAGATTTTCCCCCACCCTTTTTTTTTTTTTTTTTAAATCAAACCAATGAGATGTTTCTGCTACACTGCAATAATCAGTGCAAACTACATGATGCAGCACTTCCAAAAATAGAAATGCCTGCAGAACACACAGCTTGACGTTGCTTCCAAAAAGAACAGGGGAAGAAGTCCAGCAGTGCTTTGCATATATAGGAATTCTGAAGGCTATTTTTCATACCTGATGCCCCAGGAGCAGCAGCAGCTGCTGCATCTTCCATGAGATCTCCTTCTTCCAACTCCATATTATTACTATATTCCACATCATTTTCTCCAGACCTTAAGAGAAGATTGGGATGGAAATGGCAGAACACAGTTATTAGATTCTGGCTGTTCCCATTAAATATTATGGTACACACCATTGAGAAAAACACAAAGTGAATAGTTCCTTCTGCACTCCAAACTATATAAATTAGTGTGTTAATTGAACAACTGACTCACTAACCAGGAGTCTAGAAGTATCACACAAATCCATGCTGTAAAATCTCATCCTGTAAACTTTTCTACCTGGACGTGTTACAACACATTCTCACGTTTTAATGGACATTCTAGATTTGACATTAGTGCATCAGCTAAGAATATTAAGTTCTCTGCTTTTCAGTAACTACCTGCCCTTATTATCACTCCCACTGCATCACTTTCTAATACCAAGCTCTATTTCATTGTGGTGTTGATCAGTATAGAAACAAATTCCTTACTGTTTTGTCAAAGAATCAACAGCAAAGGAAACAGCAAAGGAAGAGACCAGAAAGTAACGATCCAGTGCCTGAAAATTCTTTACCATCAACTCTATCAGCTTACGTTGTTTCCAGTACAGGAAACATCCCTTATGTTGCACTGACTCCCAAATATACTGTAACTTTGTGTAACAAATGAATCTTTATTGCTTGGGAAACACAAGGTGATTATGTGGGATACTCACATAGTTTCTTCATCGATATCATTCTCTTCAGTGTTGCTGGTTGCTGTTGAACTAGCTGAAGAGCTGCTGCCATCAAGGTGGTTCACCTCATCTTCTCCAGCAAGGTCCACATCCAAATCACCATCAGAGAGTTCATGCTAAAGAACGGAAAACCATTTCACTCAGACAGCACTGCTTTCGTCAAAAGCTACAAACAGAATCCTCCCCACAGAGGTGTCACACTGACACATAGAAGTTATGAGTCTGAAAACACAGTAAGAGCTGGTAACAAAGAAAGTTACATTTTTTAGCTGCAATTGGGAAACCTCCTTACAGTGGGATCAAGTAGCTCTGTTCCAGAACATCTCTAAGACATCTCTTGCTAACTGTCAAACCCATTGTCTCCTATTTCCACAAAGAGATTAAGTCTCATTTACAATTCAAAACTTCATGAATGTTTCTACTGCTAACCTATTATAAAAAGCTACACAAGAGAAGGCAAAATAAAGACAGTTCCTACACTGAAGTCTTCATGCTGTATCTTCTCTTCATCCTCTTCCTTGTTATCTCGCACCAACCCCGGAGCAGCAACACTCTCAAGCAGTGCTTCAGTGCTTGGTCCAGACTTTTTTGATCTTGTTTCTTGTCCATCATCATTCTGGGGACTGAGGTGAGTGTCTGGAGGTGAAATGCCTCGTGACTTCTGAGTCCGGGAAAGCTCAATAGCGAGCCTCTAATTAGAGAGAGGCACAGAAACACACGCAGAAGATAACAATGGAGCAGCATCATTGAATAAATCCTTTTTGTTGACTTGTACATATACTATATTAAATGCCATCAAAGCATATGTGTAGCTATCCAGGTAAACAAAAATGCCAAATATGAGCTCCATAACTTAAAACAGTTAATTACGAGGCAATAAGAGGTGATTTTATATTGATGTACATCAAACTTACTTCTTTGAGATTATTTATTTGTTGGATATAACTTGTCTGAGCAGCTTCCAACTGAGCAATATACCAGTGTTGATCTCGACACTTCTGGAAAAAGGTTGGTGAGCGCACCTGAAACCTTCAAAACAACATTTGAGAAGTCTCGATTTTCTGACAAAGTCAGAAAAGCCCTGCACAAGAACACAGGATGACCCAAAATGCCATCTTAAGAGACATCATGCAAGGGCAACCCTGCCCACAGCAGCAGGGTTGGAACTACGTGATCTCTAGGGTCATTTCCAGCCCAAGCTATTCCATGATTCTATGAACACATACTTCTGTACTCACTATCCCAAATGCAATGAACAATAATAGCAAAATTATAGAAGAGACATTATATTATTGTCCCAAACCAACACTAGCAAAATCAACACACTACAAAGTATTGAACAAGAGTAGGTCTGTGTAGTGATATCTGAAGTAGATGAACAAAGTTTCTACATTTGTCCTAATATTGCAGTTTCCTTTGCCAGCATTACCTCTCTTACATTACAGACTTCTTCCCTTCATTCCCAAAGCTCTCCCATGCTAACTACAATTCCTAGAGAGAGAGAATACATCCTCTTTCTTACTTGAGTTACTTACATCTCTCTGCTCAGGGAGCATTAGTGTCAAGCATAGCTCCTTCTCAAATGAATACCAACTTTTCTCAACTCACTTTAGCAAGCTTGCTCCTTTTATATTTATGACAGTAAAATCCATTTATGAAAATCACGTCACAATTACTTTAAATTCAACTAATTGCTTTTTTTACCTCAGTAGTACATATACTTCATGAAATAATAGCACAAAACTTTCTTTCTTACCTTAGGATCACAGTGTCATTTTGTCTGTTCAAATAGCCTTCGTTGGCTAACAAGTCTAGACGAAAGAATCTGTTGTAACCCCAGCATTCTCCAACTTCAAAATCAGAGGCAAACTCTCTAATTATGTTTTTAGTGGGATCGTTGGTGGACTGGTGAACCATTTCTACACGGTACTCATACCTACACATAAGAAGATCACAAGGTAGAGATCAAAACAAAGAGGTCAGAACTGCTGAATGCACCAAGCCAAAGCAAATTGCCCTTTCTGAGAAGCTAGCATGTCCACCTGGAGAGATGATTCAGTTGTAAAATGTTACTGAAGATAAGAGAACTGGGGAAATAAGGCAGTAGCAAGGAGTAATGTGGTAAACCAAGTCTACAATGGAATGCTAGGAGATAGATTCTCTCATCAGGTGTTTAGCCAGTTTGCTTCCTTCCTTGAGCAAGCCACCGAGTAACAGCCTGAAAATATTTTCAGGCTCAACAGCCAACAGGAATCTCACCAGTCTTTTCAGCACCAGTCTTTTCACCAGTCCCCTGCAACACTACAGGACTCAAGGCCGCTCTTTTCCAAACCCTTCAGATGCTTTAGCAATAGAAAAATGAAAAAACACAACAACATCAGAAGTCCTTGCTGTTCTCAAAGGAGGTTTGCTTACTTGGATGTCTCTGGCAAGCCAGCTGACAGCTCCAAGAACACAGACAGGTAGTAGCCCCGTACGACTCCATTTCCATCCTTGAGAAAACATAAAATAAAGAAATAAGTTGATTAAAAATAAAGCCAAAACCAATAAAACCCACCTCTACACACTCTTGAAGGTTTGGGAAGTAGCTTCAGGAAACAGTTTCAATCAGATTTTCAGCAGTAGTCCATTTCATATACTACAGCTTTGTTTTGTTTTTGTTCTTTTTTTAGTCTTCTGTGACCTAGAACTCTTCCTGTAATTTGAATCAGTGTAGTGTTTATGCACTTCAGATGTGAACTCCATTTGTATCACTCAAAACTCAAAGCAGAGCTTTAGTTATTCTATTAAAAATTAGGAGTTCACTCAAGTGGCAGACTGAATGGACAAACAGTTGTCAATGTACTGGAACACAATTAACATATCAATGAAAAAGCAATAAAAACAGCTCCAAATCTACACATCAGTTTGTATCTGTCCAGTTTCTCCTCGAATTCTCAAGATGAAAACAGCTCAGGTCAAATATTAGTTCTGAAGTACTTTATGTAAAGCCATACTTCAAAGCCACTTCATTTTTGAAGGAAGAGTGATTTGTACTTCTTCAGAAGAACAAACAATGAAAAAGTTATGTCAGTTAACAGAGAAACTGTGTCTGAATCACCAGAAAAAAAACATTGACAGAACTTCTTTACACTCATTGCAATCAAGAACAAAGAATGGCTCAACTTTAACCCTCTAGATTGAAGAAGTGATTCAACTTACCATCTGAAAATTAATTTCAAAGCCTTCTAACAGCACACCTTACACAGTCAATCCTGAATGTACATCACCCTGCAGACTTGCACAGCAGCCCACCTATGTACTGCTAGAATACAGTGCTGTGCATACACATTACCCAGATTAACTTCACTGAGAACATTCAGTAAAGGATATCTGGAGGCAGGGAGGGAACACCCCACTGGCTCATGATTAATTCTGCAGCCTTATGTTCCTCCCCTCCCCCATCCTTCTACCTATGTCTGTCACACAGGGAAACTAACTGATATTTCCTCGCAGGAGAAGCATATGCAGGTCACTCAGGGAGTTTGGATGCAATGACAATTTTAGTTGAAAATGTAACTCACTGGGTAAACTTTTAACCTCCAACAAAGTCCTGACACTTGAAGAGGTGGGCTGTAAACAGGATCTGCTCGCTGACGCAATGTACTATTGAGAGAGGAGAAAAAACATTTGCTATTGGGACAAAGCAAAACCCTCCATGCACTGCACATACATTTGCACTCTGTAGGACCATCCTTCTTGCTGCACAGAAGTGTAGCAGCACGAGGCCACGCACAGTGTTAAGTGTCCTTAAGAATATATATTCCTTGCAAAATTATCCAATCTTTTGTATAAAGAGCAATAAGTACCTCATCTTCATAATGAAAAATCCTTATCAGTTTCCAATTTAGCTAGGGTTAACTGCTGCTCACCTGGGAAATAAGATTTTGACTAAGTTTGTCACATCTAACAGCTTTCAATGAAGACTATTCAGTGTTTAAAAAAAAATATCTCAAGTGCAGAAGAAACAGAGAACAGCTTCTGAGAGTCAAAGAAATATCACAAGATCCATTCTTACCTAAAGTTTTCCAATACAAAAGTAGTTGAGTCATAGGCTGGAACCAATTCACTGGGAGGAAAAAAAAATGCATTAGAATACAGTGAATAAGGTGACATTAAAAAATCCCAACTTCTTGAATTGAAGCACTTCAGATCACCAGAGCCACTGACATTCACTAGGACTACACTGGGTTCATTCAGCACTTCTGAAAATTCCATTTATAAACCACTCCCCCCAGCACCTCTCCAAGTGATATAACACAAAATCAAGTATTTTATGTTACGAAGAAAAAGCAGCTAAAAATATTTGAAGATATTTAAAAAATTTGCCCCATTACCTGTAAATTCTAATAACCTCTTAATAGATTGAATTTAATATCAAATTCACTGGTAGTACTAGCAGTATGAAGCTGTTGCTGTTATGTATAAAACTTAAATGCTTCTGCTTCAAGAGCACAAGATACCTCATTGGAAGATGAATATTCAACTTAAGTTTACCTTAGAGAGATCTTTAAATTTTTTTCAGAAGACATCTGAGGACAATAAAAATATTGCAACTTGAGATTGCATTTAAAAGCAGCCTAGGCTGATTGAAAGATTTCTTAGATTTCTCAGGTTTGCAGTTTTATGGGTATGACTTGCAGCCAGCTATCTTGAACTCTGCAACCTCCTCAGAGGCCAGCACTAACAGCACTCTCTTTATGAAGAAGTGTTAGGAAGTGATTTTGTCTAAATATTCTGAATTAAGGTGACCTGCAGAGGCATCTCATGAGAACCTTGCAATTATACACTGAATGATCCCATTAATTAGAGAAAAAGGACAAACCAATAAACCAACTGTAAAAGGGGAAAAAAAACAGTCTAGTCAGCTGGAACCCACTGTTCTGACTCCCCAGCAGGGATACAGACTTATGACAAAGGCCCTGCAGGAACAGAAAGCCTAAGAAAGGCGTAGGCTGCTAAGGGAAGGCACACAATTGGACATTTCTGGAGTATAAACTTGGACACAAACTGAATCAGGGATATCAAGTTCAACCCCCAGAAATGAATGGAACCATGCTACCAGATCTCTCACATTGCAGAGAAGCATGACTCCCCTTCACCAGAGGTGGTTACCAGGGAATCTCTCTGAAACCAACCTAACCATCAGAAATTTATCACCCGTTCCTTTAAATCCACACATTAAAATACCTGCCCTTGTTTTACATAAGGCTTATGCACATCAACATACATCCTACCTCCCAGACTCACTACGATGTCCTCCTCCATATAGCTGAGATCTGTTTCATGGGATGTAGGATATCCTTCTCTAATTATTTTGTAACTAGCAAAGCAGTTATAAGATGCCTTTCATGTCCAAACTGCAACAGAGAGGAAATGCAACACTTACCTTGTGAAGTCAGGAGGAACAGGAGTAGTAACAAACGAGGCCATAGGCTTCCGGTGAACCTGCTGGAACATCATCAGGATCTCTGAACTTTTGGATATCAGCTCACTCTTACTGCATGACCGTAACTATCAGGGAACACAGAAAGAAGATACTTGCACCATCACTACAAGACAGATGGCGACCACTGTGGACTTTAAACAAATAGCTCTATCAAGTAACACTAACCCCCTTCAAGTAACACTTGAAAAATAAGTAAATAAGAAAGAAGGTCAACTGAAGAACTAGCCATGTGGTTATACATACAAATGTTACATTTCAACTGTTTTCATAATCACCTGATGTTCCACTTCTTGAAGCAGGGATTCCAGAAGCTCAGTTTCTTGGGTAAGAGATGTCTTTTGACCTGTTTAAAGACAGGAAGACCTGTTTAAAAACAAGATGACACACTCCCAAGGTTGATTGAGAAAGCATTTTAGAAGCAAGCCTACGTTTTTAATTAGAGCTGTAGCAATGAACTCATTTGAGGTTAAGACAATATTGAAACATTCTCTGTGTCCCAGAAATGGCAGGTTTGTTGTTTCAGGGCACTTTTTTGAACAAAAAGCAGGACTGACTTCACTGCATTTGCTTTCCTCCAGAAATGTCTTTTATGTTAGCAGACACTTTGCAAGTCCACTATTTCTCCAGACTTTGATTATTGTTTTCTTCATTAAAAACAACAACAAAAAGAACAGCCAACCAATGGAAAAAAGAAAAGAACATTTAAATGTGTTTGTGAACTTCAATTAGCATGAAGCCTGAGACAAGGAAGAGCTCTGTCACATGTCTGTTTTTCTCTCGTGGGGATTTACTTTGTCACTATCACACATTAAGTGCCCAAAGAACACTTGGTAATCCTTAGAAAAAGAGGTGTTACACAGGAAATGTTCATCTGTACATGCAAATAACCAAGGCATTCTGCCACAATTCTAAGACTGATCTTCAAGCCATACACCTTAAAACAAACCTTACAACACGGATACAGGGCCAACAACATATTCGTTCGTTTGCTCTGATGTAAGGGTTGTGTACCCTTCCAGACTGAGTTCAGATGTGTAACATTTCAATACTGCCTAAAGAGCCTGGTATCTCACAGAGCTGTCATCTCTAGTACGTGCTGTGTACTTACTGACATGAAAGCACATGTGGAAAAAGCAAGGCACATAGAATGATAGAACATAGAAGCACAGATGAGAGACTGAATGAGCAAAGCATGCAGGGAGCTACTGCCTGCTGAGGAATACTGAAAGTTAAAATAAAAATACTTTCTAAGAGTGTTGCTCCTGGAAGCTTCAGTAACCATCATCCATCTCACCTCTCTTGAAACCAAAGGAGAATTCAAGTGACCAGCCTCCAGTCAGCAAAAGCATCAGGAACTAAACTACCAACTCTGATTCCAGATGCCATACTCTTCATTTGCAGACTGCCCATATGCTTGGCTCTGAATGGTTGCTTATCAGGCAACAATGAAGACTTCAAGTTCTTTCAATTACATTAAGAGGAGGCATCATAACAAAAATGTCTCTCTTGGCTAACACCAATGATCATGGAAACACGCTGCCACTGTGAGAAAAAGTGCTAAATATCTTCCAACTAAATGTAAGTGTTCTCTGAGCTATTTATTATACAGGAGAACAAGAACAAGCTGCCTCCAGCAACTCAGGGCTGCACCACAGTAACTACAATATTAAATACAAAACCTACTGTAGGTAGTTTTCTGTCAGTTTCCCAGCTTAACCCCATTAAATGGCACAAGCAGTCACAATCCAAGGCCAAGAAGTTTTCTCAGTACACTTACACATTTTGAATACATTGCTCCCATTCATAACAGATCAGGCAAACACCCACCCATCAGTGTTATAAGCTTATTCTTCAGCTGAGTGTCCAGCCGGGCAATCATCATCTCCACTGCATTCCTGATCTCCCGAACTCTTTCATCCTTTGCACTACGCACTGCCTCCACATTCCTCTCCTAAAAGAGAGTCCAGGAAAAAAAAAAAATGCATAAAGAGGGACTACTCACACTTTTACACATTTTACTCATTAAACGACCCCAGAGATTATACAGCGGTCTTCCAGACCCAGAAATCATAAATCCATAGAATGGGTTGGAAGGGGCCCTACAGATCACCCAGTTCCAGCCCTCCTGCCACGAGGCAGGGCTGCCACACATTAAATATGGAACAAGGCCTCCTAGAGCCCCTTCCAGCCCTTCCTTTTGAGAAAAAATAAAAATCCTGGTCTTAATGAACTCAAGCTTGCACGTTTAGAATAAGAAAACAGGAATGTGTTTTGAGATGAGCTACATTACAGGTTATTCCTGTTGCCAAACTAAGTACTTCATTATGTTGTTTCATATATCCTTCAACTGTTATTGAACACAGAAGCGTGCCCTCTGGTGGGAGACCAAAGGTTAACAACAAACTTGAGCAACGTTTTCTCAATACAAATTCACCAAGCAAGGATTATTCAGCATCAAGTTTAGAAAATACAACTATCAGTGCTTCTTCTGTAACTTCAGCAGTATAGGAAAAAAGAATTACTTTGTTGGAAACAGGAACAGTTGGATAGAACTTGTGCCTTCTTCTTGCAAGGGATTTCTCTACACTTTATGAATGCTTCCAAGTGAACCATTTGGTTCTGCACTGAAGCAGAGCTAAGCCACCACTGCATGCAGCTAACAGCTGCCAGAGCTACAGCACACCCAGGAACCACTGACACTCGTTCAAAAGCAGGCTGTATTTAGGCTCAAGTACACTTGTATTTTATTTTCCCAAAGGAAGGGGAATAAGATCTGCTATAACAAAGCATTTGTGTGGTGGTTTGGCACAGCAGACAGCACGTTTTGTGTTTTACTGTTTACAAAAATAACCTTTCAAAGAACTGCTTGAGTTTAGTTTGACATACCACGCACCAAAAGATGCACTCTGTGCTAGCCAACACACACCTTTCTGTCTGACAATTGTAAAAACATTAAGAATGTAAATGCAACTAAGAAGTGAAAATTTCTGAGATAATCTGTTTACTTTCACAGAATCAACTGTGCACAGGTACCAAAAATATCTCTGAGCATATGAAATTGTATACTATTTCCATTATCCTCTGACAATGGCACACTGCAGGAAAACATGGTGTTATTTTGAGTCAGTTTCTTACCACTTCTTGCACTAAACTGATCAGTTCCATGAGTCTCCTCCTAAGCTTTGCCACTTCTTCATTCACTTTTGTGACGTGTTGTTCATATATTTCTGCCAATGGCTTAAAAGTATGTCCTCCATGCTATTAAAAATGATAATAAATAAATCAAGAGAGGAGAACAGAACATATTCTAACTTCAGTCTGCTCCTATTAAATTATTGACAGAGAAGGGAAGAAAGCCTCCTCATGTATCACTCATTCTGGAAAAGTTCCAAAGCAGACAGCAAGTAGGAAGTCTGTCTTTCGCCTCCCTTCATAAGAAGTCATGAATTTGGCTTTCATAACATCCAAACTTCCTGTCAAGAATTATTTGAAGTCCTCCAAAAATAAACTGCTTTATTCACTGGGCAGCTCTAACAAATCAAATAGAGACAGAAGGATTATTCCTACTAAAACACCCTACTCAAATAAAAGCAGCATCGTGTTAAAGCAGCATTCAACCACCTATATTCCAAGGCATTGCAGCAGTCCTTCCCTGAAATATTCTACTGAGAGTATAATAAACAGTGTGGTGAACTGCAATGCTAATACAACTTTGCAGATATTCAGGAATATTATCCAGAATGCTTCCATAACGTATTATCTAAATACTTTGAGGACGATTTCTTCCTTTACCCATAAAATTCCTCACCACCTATTGTTTGTCCATCCTGAAGCTTTTTACCTTCCTTGTTATTTTAGCCTCCTTTCAAAAAAAAAAAATTATATATATATTATATAATTTATATATATATAAATATATACACACACACACACTTTGCTTCTCTAATTAGAAACACAAGAGATTACCTTTCAAAATTCACATCCACATCAAGTTATAAAAGCATGCACAACTATAGCACTGGCATGGTAACTCAATAGCCAAATCAAGTTTTATAGCTTCTCCACTTCCTCAGACTGCAGCTGGACACGATGCTGGCAGCTCCTCACTGCAGCACCCTGCTGCATTCCAGCAGGCTGCTCTTACCATTCCTCCCCAGAGAGCACACTGGTGGCAGATGCACTTCTTACAGGTCCAACAGAACACACTGAGCTTTTCGTGATGATTTTCACACCTCAAGTAAAACAGAAGAACAACATATCAACCACAAGGAATACCTACAATAAAGCCCAGAACTCCATAGAGCATAAAGCAGTAGCATAGATTCGCAAGAACAGTCAACAAAAATCTTTTGTAAAATAAACATCCTTAGTATTGTCAGGAAGTATTCCACAGAGAAAAAGTGTATTAATAAAATCAGATTTATGCCTAGCAGGTAGAGGTTACAGTCCCTGAATCAAGTTCAGAATCCTATGAGCAAGCCCTGCACAGCCCAGGCAAACCTCCAGTGTGTCTCCCCTGCTCTTCCACCAAGTTTCAGGTATGGAGAAGAAGGAACAGAACACAAAATTAGTCTCTGTCCATTTTTCAATGCTTCTGCTCACATTTTTTCTCATTTAAGCTCTATTCATCCCAGTGAGAAATAGTATAATTTAGGAGCTTTATGTGCTACTATGACAAAAACAAGCTCCAACTTTCAGAGACAACATGATTACATCCATTAAGCGATGGCACAATTCAGCCTTTAAATCAGAAAACTGGTTGTTCCCTGAATTAAAAAAAGATGAAATTAAAAGTTCATTCCCATAAGGCAACCTGCAAACCCTTCACATGAGGAATGCTCTACTTACTTGTCTTTCTCATTTTCTTCATGCTTTGTGAGACTGCACAGCTGAAGCGTATCGAGCTGCTGTGTGACCTCCTCTGCCCAGCGACAGTTGACGAGCTCTCGGAGCTGCAGTGGGGCTCTGCAAGAAGCATTGCTAAGAGTTACAGTGAGAACTGTGCTCCAGGAGCCAGAAGAACACACTGAGATGAGATCAGTTCACCAAATCCACATCACTCAGGAAGTCAATAACTGTTTCAGATAGCGATGCAGTGTTTTAAGTTGACTTGCTCTTACTGGAGGAAGAAAGGCCAAACCACCCACAGCTACACAGGGACACCAGAGCTACCCTTACAGTCACATATTCCTGGGTAACACTTGGCAAATATTTCATTTCTCAGCACTTCAACTCCTCCCATTATTCAGCAATCCCTACAGCTGTGCTTCAATGAACACCTCCGTAGAACACAGAAATACTTACCTCCTTACCAGCCTTTTAGAATTACACATTAGCTACTTTCAAAGCTGAATATGAAGTTCTGCAAAAATGATTGGCTGTTTTCTCAGATACCTCCCCTTCCTAAGGGGAAAATACATCCCACCTTCGATTCACACAGATAATGTATTCCTGGTGTTCAAAATCCCTTACCTACAATGAGGGCACTGAGCTCTTTGTTCTGTCAGCCAACGCTACGAAGTAAAAAGGAAAGTTTTTAAAGAAACAGCAGGGAAAGAACTGCAAGCAAGAACAATCTATTGTTATTTATGAGTTAATTCTTTTCATTACTCTTCTACTTTTCCTTTTTTAGAGATTTGAAATCAAACTATTCAACCACTTGTTACAAAAGAAGCTGCTATTTGTATCTTAGAAACAGGACAGCTGCAATCCTCAAATCAACCCAGTTAAAACAAAAAGAGGAATTCTGCAGCACCCAAAGTTCCAGCAGCAGCCACATACATACCTGGTGCAGGTTCCCAGAGCTCCAGGCTAACAAACACCTCGCAACAAAAGAAAGCAAGAGATACTTCAAAGACCAGGAATTCCTGCTGTAACTTATTTCCCCCTACTGGCACACAAGTCAGACACCTGCAGACCAACAATCAACCCCACGGGGACCCTCTGAATGTCTCTCCTCCAGAAAGTTCCACACAAAGACAAGTGGCTGAGGGAGGAATGTGGAAGGAAGGGTGACGACACAGCTGTGCCTCAACAGCAGATCATCAGACAGCCCTGCAGCGAGGGCTGCTGAGCACAGCACGGCCTGCTGAGAGCACGGGGCAGGGGTGAAGCAGGGCTCACAGCCCCACAGGGACGGCGAGACAGAACGCACCGCCTGCTGTAGAGCAGTTCCTACGCCCATACGTTTGCAAGTTAAGGATAACGAGGAGCAAACTCACCCGAATGCAGCTGAAGCAGCACAGCTTGGAGCAGTGAGGGCAGAGCCGCGCATCGCGCAGCTTCTCCATGCAAATAAAGCATCGGAACACCTCGGCGATGCTCTGGAAAAGGGCAGGCGGTTGTTATTACCAGCTACCGTCACCCCTGCCTCACACACACACACAGCGCCGAGCTCAGCACACCCCGCCGCGCACCTCGCACGCATTTTGCGACGCTCTTCTCAACGAGCCGTTCCTCCCTTTGATTACTTTCCCTTCCCGAGCTCTGCGCCCCCCCGGCTCCGTTACGGCCCCGCAGCCGCGCCGGCTCGCTGTTCTCCAAGCCCCGTTACGCCGCAGAGCCGCGCGCCGCCCGCACAGCGCACCTGGGCCGCGCCCTGACGGAGCGCAACCGCCGCCCGCCGCTCACCTCCACGCTCTGCTCGTCCATGGCCGCGGCTCTCCCGCAGGGAGCGGTCCCGTCCTCTTCCCTCCCCGGCTCTCCCGCCCCGCGACGGCGGAAACGAGAACGCGGGGAGCGCTAAGAGCCGCCGCGCTCAGGCGGCGCACCGACGCCCCGCACCCGGCCGGCCGCAGCCATAGTAGCGGCAGCGGGGCGGAGCCGCCCGTCAACGAGCCCGCCCTGCGCAACGCACTGCGCACGCGCGACCGGGCGGGAGGCGGGCGGGCTGAGCGCCGCGCGCGCTGCGCCGTCCGTTGCCGTGAGGCGTTGGCGGCGCGTGCAGCGCGGGAACGGCGCTCAGAACTTCTGTGAGGTGCGGGGATCTGCGCGCGTCTCGCCCCGCACCGCCACGGCACCGAGTGAGAGCCCTCTCGTTCGCTGTCATGTATCACAAAATCAGGAGCTTAATGAGCTTAACACCTCCTGCTTTCTCAAATTTGGTGTCAATCGACGAACCAAACAACTGAGGGTGGTCAAAGGCGGCTCCGAGCACAGGGCAGAACCTCCCAGCTGTGTGGGGCTGCGGTTGTGCTGAGGTGTGCAAAAGGCAGCAAAGGCAGGGCCGGCAGTCACCACACAGACAGCAGAGCGATAAATCTATGGACACATCGCTTTGCTTCCACCATTTATTCAGGAATGTGAGTACAGTGAAGTGGCCTGGGTTATTTGTCTTAAAAACCCCGCTCAGGAATGCAATGAGATGGAAATGACACCTGGTTAACAGTGCTGTTCAAAAACCGCGTGGGCTGCAGTCGTGTAAACGTTGTAAACATCCACGGGCAAATGCCAACCTCAATGGGTTTCATTCTGCAGCTTTTCAAGTACCAGAAATAGCATTTGTGTACAGAGATATCAACAGCCTTCCAGCAGTGTTCTGTAACTCCCAGCCACCAAATACTCGTCAGTGACACATGGCCAAGGTGCTGTGTGCCCAACGAGGACGGACCAGGCCTTCATTTACACGACTAATTTAACATTGCCTTGTTTGTCAAGTTCCACAATAGCAAGCTCTTTCAAGATCCGTATCCTTGTGTCAGTGGCTTTCATGTTCATTTTGTTCATCTGTGAGATGCTCAGTGCCGCTCTGTAAGGCAAGAACAAAGTGCTGAGCACAGCAGGGCAATGAGCAGCAGGTCTGACAGAAAATGGCAAAAAAAGCACTTCTCGTTTAAGGCAATATTTGTGCACGTGCTCTGCCATTCTCACGTTTATTCCAACTGTCATCAGGTTTACCAGGCTGCATTAAACTGGAACAGTCACTTCCTGACACAACTTCGTAATACAGAATTCCTGCATCTAAAACTTTCTGACTGTTATCATCACCACAAAGAACACATCCAGTGAAAATGAGCATAAAAGTCATTTGTATACAAATGAACTCAGGGTTTTGTCTGACACTCTGTGGTGCACACCCACCCAGAAGGGTGCAGAGGAGCACGATGAAATGTCAGAGTTACTGTAGAGCAGCAAGTGGTAAATGAGCTGTTTCTGTTTCATTTGAAAATGCTGAATTTCTATGCAGCATATACAATTCTTATTAACGAGTAGCTTTAAGTCTTACCTGTTCTTATTTACAACAAAGTGGTTAAATAAATCCCTGTACAAATTGTTCAAGTCTGCTAATTTAACGGTGCTTCTGATACTCCTTGGCACAGTCAGAAGTGTTTCTTCAGACAGTGGTTTGAACTGTGACTCTAAAAAATTGCAAATAGAAGATAGTTGGTGCTTCAGAAATCAGGGCAAAGAAAAAGGATACCTGCACTACTTATTAACAAAGCTCCCAAATGAGTCTAAAGGAGGAAGGAGAGGAAGAAGATACTCCCCCCAGACTATCATTATTGCTACAGACATAGTGAAATATAATGGATTTAAGATCTGATGTGGATTTGAGATCTGATGTGCATTAATAGACGTGGTGTCAGACATCACTTGGAAAAAACAACAACAAAAAAGAATTCCTTTCTGTAAAGGATAAATGGATTAAACAAGGGTTATTTCTGTGGTAAAATAGTACACCATCTTCTTCCAGACCATAAACATAAGACAAGAACCCAACAAATCACAGACGCACACATGCACACACACACACAAAAAAAAAACAGCAGGAAGAATCTTCCACCACTCACCTTCAGCTGTGTCAGGGTCTACAGATTCTGAACAGAATGGCTAAAAATGAACAAAAGAATGTCAGAATTTCTTGTGAGTTTGGCTGAGAATTTAGGTTTTTTTACAATTTTATTTCTGTGTGAGCTATTACATCTTATTTGTGTAATCGAGGATCTTGCAGCCACTGAAGCCAACAGCAGAATCTTAGGCATTGAACAAATCCTGGTTTCGAATAAAATATGCTTAAAATGGAAACAGAAGGACTCATGCAAGTCAGACTGAGCCCTTCAGCTTTCTCCTTTGCATTCCAGTGCAGGTCTTGCAGAAATCACTGCACGTGCAGAAAAGGAAAACAACAGCTTTCCTATTCTCAAACAACCTTTAGAGGCTGACAGTTCCAACAAGCAAAGGGAGCTGCATCGAACTTTCCTCAGCCAGAAATGCAGCACTGACCAAAAAATCCCATAAAATCTTCACTATTTTGCTATTATTACATGACCAAGACCAAATCTTTGCAGGTAATTATATTAAAATGTTGTGCTATAAATAGATAGGGGAGAATATCCAACTTTTTAACAAGTGTTAGTTTAGATCTGTGTTGTACTGCATTACAGTTTAAATACACTTAAATTATTGCTAGTCCTATCCCAAACTGCACTGAATTGAATCCATCACATTCTTTGCTGCCATCCAAAGTCTTCTTAAATAATGTACTAAGAGAACATTTCCCAATGAGAAAAAAAAGAAGAAAAAAAAAAAGAAAAACCAAGCAAACAAACAAGGAGAAAAGTCTTCTGTCTTAACAGTTTTTTTATAGGCAACTTAATGGGGAGAAATAACCAACTTAACCAGTAAACAATAAAAAAGTTTGTTAGGAACTTCAGCACCATTTCTGAAAAACTCTACTCAAGGTATGAAGGTACCAAACCAGCCCTTCTGATGTCAGCTGAGCTGCTCAGGACTCACAGCTTCTGCAGTACCAGTGCTCTGTGCCTCATTACCTTTTCAACCAGTGATTCCATTTCTTTAGCAGTTTGGCAGCCTAACTGCTGTGCTGCAGCCTGTTCTTCTTCTGACAGAGGCAAGCGCTAGAAAAAAAAGACATTTGTCATATTAACCACTGACAGTGTAACTTTAACTCCAAAACTAAATACTACTGGTTTAAACACTGAACAATGAATCAGACTGGCTTCAATCTTATCAACATTTCTACTGGTAAACTGTCTTATCTCCGAAGCATCCGTGCATGCAGTAGTTTCCAATTAAACTACCCATGTCTACACAGAGGTTACACAAATGCTTGGTCACGTAGAGCAGTGAGAACCAAGTAAGTGACACAAAAGCACTACCTGGAGATCAGTGCGCTGCTGCAGTGCCTGAACGATCCTCATGGTGTTCTCTAGAGCAGCACGGATGCCATTCATGGATTCTCTCTGCTCTAAGGAAACTTTTTCCAGCTGCATACATAACGTTTTGTAACGAGATTTTACCACGGAGAGTTCTTCTAAGAGAGCAACTGGGTTTTCCTATGTAGAAACGAAAGGTCCATTTAAACTGTCCAATAAGAGAAAATACCTGGGCATGTAAGAATTAAAAGCATGGGATTAAGACCAACTCTTTACAATAAAAGGTGCAGCTGAGAGTATCTCTTTTTTTCACAGGCACAACTGGCAGATGCTGTTAATAAACCAGTACAACTCCGTGGTCCATAATGAATAAAAGAGGAAGCCTTTATTGTGATGACAAATATGATGTGGCTTTTCAGATTTGGAAGAAGGTAAAGATTTTGAAATAAAAGGGTTATAAATCCAAGACTACGTGTCACAATGCACGTGGCAACAAGGGCTTTTTATGAGATTTTCACATGCTGCCATTTGTTGTTTCCCTCCCCAGCACTGTACTTGGCACTGCTGATCTCTCTGCTCTCAAACTGAGGCTGCACTTCAGCTGAGAAGGGAACATCTCTAAGTGCTAACACGTGCTAACATTACTGTTAAACTTACTGCTTGCCTCTCAACATAAAACATGGGGGAATTTCACTGTATCAGAAATGTACACTTTCTGCTCATTGCTGCACTGAATTCAGATACCTTGGTGTAAATGCAGTAAACATCTTACAACTAGATGAACATTCACATATTTTCCGCTTAAGGAAAAATAACTATTTATTAACAATTTCATGTAGAATGCCATAAAATCTATTCATTTAATTCAAAAACACTACCTCTGCTGCTGGATTATCAGGAAGACTTTTCATTATCTCAAATTCCAGTCTGTGTTGAATATAATCCAGATCAGATTCTGCCTTCTGGAACTGAAATATTCAGGGTTAGCCACAATATATTACAAACAAAACCCAAAGACCAACCTCAGCCACTTGCATTCACTGTCTGTATTTCAGGAAGGCAGAAGACAAGTGCCTGCATTGTAAAGGTTGATGTCTTTCCAGCCCTCCCTGCCCCTCCATGCAAACCTCTCAGGACAAAGCCAAGCCCTGCTGCAGAGGGAGCTGTCTCAGGGCACCACAACCATACAGCTTTTTGAAACTGGTCTTCAGAGCTTGCAGATGTTCAATTTGTTCTCCCCAGACACAAACATATTTCCCCGCAGTTTGTAAAGCTTTTCCTCAGTCAGCTGCTTTGCTTTTCATACATTAAGAACTCTGCTAGCAAAACTGTAATGCTCCATTATTTACACAGCAGAAACTAGGAAAAAAAACGGAGGAGTGGAGTATAACAGATTTGGCTGTTAATTACATGAGGAGTTAATTCTCCCAGACGATTATAGTAACTGTCACACATTCCATTATCCCCCACTAAAACAGACTGACAAACAGATAATACAACTGATGACAACACACTGCTTTCCTTGGGATAAATAAGCCACCAGAGAACGATGTCACTGCCTGTACGCAGCCTGCTGACAACATCAGTACTGCAACTGTAACACCTCTGGAGGACTTCAAGGAAAGGCGTTCAGTGTAATCATTGGGGGGTTTTACAGTGACAGAACAGCCTGTGATAAAAGTCAAAACTCTTGTAATTTACTTAGCTCAGTGTTGTTGTCACTAATTGTATCGAGCTTAACTCTGAAGTAATCAATACAACTTTTGTAAGGATCAAAATAAGGCTGTATTTGTGAAAGCTCCTTTGATTATTAACTACTGGGAATGCAGACAATGAATATGGATGGATTTCAACGTTATCCACGAAGATCTGTTCTTGAAATATTTCAGTATCGATCATGTGGGAACACCAAGTGAATGGTAAGCCATGAACGCTGTGCTGCTGCTGTCCCTCAGGTCAGAAAAGGGGACAGGAATGTGCTGTGTATCCATCCTGCAACCCTGGCTTCACCCTGGCTTCACCATTGTGCTCAATGAAAACACAAACGCAGTATCAGCATTCCTGCTTTCTCCTGAAACTGTACTAACTACAGACAAAGGTTATTATCAGCAATTTCAGAACATTTTTATAGGCCCCAAGGATGTATCATCATCCGCCTTCCTTTAATTTATAACCGTTTATTTCTTGTAGTATTTATGGAAACATACACCTCCAAAACCCCCAAGTGAAGGCTATGGGCTGTGCCCACCTGTATGACGAGTTCTGCACGGCAGTCACACAGGAAAAGCAGTTTCTGAGATGTAAATGTGTAACTTACTCACAGGCTGAGAGGAAAGCAAAACAATTGGAGGCACCACTCACGCCATCGCTGCACGCTCTGCTTTCAGATGCTTTGACAATACTATTGCACTGCTAGCTGTGAAGTACAGTAGTGCAATAAAGTCAGAGCATTCGTTAGCAGCAACAATTCTCAACAAGCAGTCAATACACCCAAAACATGTGTTGGAAAGAAGTAAGTTGAACCAGGTGGTGCTTGCTGTCGGTCGTGGACATTTAGGTAAAGGAATTCACCAAATCCAATTTGAGAGTTGTTTTTCCAATCACCTCCACTCTCAGACACAACAGCACTTATGGATGCAGCTCCATAGCAGGGAGCACTGCAGACAGCACTGCTGGCCAATGCCCTTTTAACATTGCACTGCTTTGTGTATGATCACTAGTAGTACAACATAAAAAGGGCGCTGGACAGACACCGCTCAGAGGAACAGGCAGGATCACCCTTCTACAAATGGTAGCAGAAACCAACTGAAAGGCTCAGAGTGCAGCACCTGCCCACTTCTCCACTTCTACTAATTTTACTAAATGGATGTGTGCAGAATTTAAGTTCTTTTCAGTGCAGGCTGCTGAAGTACACACTGAAAAGCACTGCAAGTGAGTCAGCTTTACAGTTTCTCGCATAATAAATCTCACACTGTAGATGTGGTGGTTCATTCAACTCTTCATGTTTTGTGCTTGAGCACTAGGCTCCATTAAATGGAGATGACCATTCACATTGCTCGTTGTAAGCTCCTACAAGTCAGTTTATCCCTGGTTCCATGAGGCTGAGGCAAAGCTCTGCACAAAATGCGTGTCAGAACCCCTGAGGAAATAAGAAGTGTTATTTCACCACTTCTGTGGGGAGAGCCAACTTCATGGGCAGCCCAGGAGGAAGAAGCAACGAGCAGAAGGGAAAGCAAGAGGCATCAATGAACACAGATGCCATTGTATATATATAAACTTGTTGACAAAGAGTTATTACACTTCTGTAAGAGGTTTGCACATAGGAAATCAGTTTCCAAATGGATTCCCCGAATGATTTTGGATAAAGACCTAGCTATTTCTCAAAACTCCTATCATCCACTCTGTGTCCCTTCAGCAATGTTACTGCGTTCTGATAAGAATTAAGAGACTATTAAACTCGTTTTTCCTTTTCTTTAATTAGGAATTGAAACCAATGCTTTCAGAATGGGGGAACAGCAGGCAGGAATCGGCTGTGCTACTTCCCTGTGTTTGTCTCTGCATTGAGACGTCCTTTGTGCCATTCACGCCCCTTTCTGCTCTGTAGGTACCTAACGGACAAGTTCATAATAATTTTATGATCATTTATAATAACTTTACATGTTTGGGATTCCAAGAATTCCTGGAAGTTTCCACCCAGAGAAAAGACACAAAGGAGCGCCGTGCTTGACGAGCAACTCCAGTGAGAGCATTCAGCTCGTGTAAGGAATGAAATGATCTCATTAAGCATCTACACGCATAAAATATTCCCGAAGGGCTTCAGATAAAGGAAAAAAAAGAACCAAACAAACAAACTATGCATGTAACAAAACTACATGAAACAAAACCAAAAATAAAAACCACACACACAAAAAAAAAAGGTTGGGACGCGAAAGGCGCCGCACAGAACTCCAGCCGAAGGGCTCGGCAGCCCCGTGTGTGTGAGGGCGCAGCACCGCTTTCCTTCGCTCTGTAACTTTCTTCCCGCTGCCGGAGGACGGGCAGCGTTACATAACGGCGCCGGGCCGCCCGAGAGCAGCGGAGCGCGGTGAGGGCCGGGACCGCGGGGCCGGGCGGGAAGCGGAGCCGAGGGGAGGCCGGGGCGCGGCGCCGCCTCAGCGCTGGGCGGGAAACCGCCGCCCCGCTCCCCCTACGGCTGTGCGCGCCGATGGGAGCGGCCGTCCGGCCTCCGCCCGCCGGCCCAGGTGTGAGCTGCGCCCCCCCCCCCCGCTGACCGAAAATGGATTCGTCCGAGCGCGCCGCGCTCCACGCCCCCCCGCCCCCCAACCCCTCCTCGCGGGGCGGCGGGGAAATGGAGCGGCGCGGCCCGACCCCTCCGCGGGGCCTCCAGCGGGCGGCGGTGCGGAGCGGAGCGGAGCGCGGCTCCCCTCAGGTAGAGGGGAGTGGCGCGGCCCCGCCGCCGCGCTCAGGGCGGAACGGAGCGGCGCGGGGAGCCCCGCCCCCCGGGCTGTGGGGGGGGCGGCGAACAGAACGGACCGGCCGAACCGCCCGAGCCGGCGGCGGGCGGCAGCCGCCCCCTGAGGGCCGCGCCCCCGGCCTGCCCCTCCCGCGGGCTCCGCTCGGGGCCCGGCTCCGCTCGGCGGACGGCCGCTCTCCGCCCTCGCGCCCCCGGCCGCGCCCGCGGCCCCTTCGCCCCGCTGGACCGCGGCCCCGGAGCCCTCCGAGCCGCGGCCGCCGCCCCCCGGCCCCGGCCCCGCCGCCTCCCGCGCTCACCATGGTCTCGAGCCTGGTAACCGCCGTCTCCATGTTGAATAGTTGACATTCCTCAGGCGGCGGCGGGGAGATGCCCACCCCCCGCCCCGCAGGGTGGGAGAGCCGGGGGCTCCGATTGGGCAGCTGTCACTCGGAGCTCCCTTCCCATTGGCTCGCGGCTGACAGAGGGCGCTCGCTATTGGGCGGGAAGGAATGTAAACCCTTCTCTGAGGTAGAGGGGAAGCTATTGGTTGGTGGAAAGGCTGCGGGCGGTGAGTGGTTGGGGGAGGGAAGTCCGCGAGCCGCCATTGGGACAGAGTGGAATCCAGCCGCGATTGGGCGGAGAAGAGGGCGCCGGGCTGCTATTGGCGGGAAAGGGGAGCTCCGCGAGCTGCAGCCTATCGCAGCGCGGCGAGGGCGCGCCCTGATCCAATGGCGGAGCGGAGCAGCGCCCGGCCCACGATTGGCCCTTTCTCCTCTCCCGTCGAGCTCCGGCCCGGCGGCCAATCAACGCGCGGCTGGCGGGGGCCGCGGGTGGAGGCGGCGGAAAGCGGCGCTGCCATTGGCTGCGCGCGGCGCGAGGAGCGGTTTGAATCGGCGGCGCCGGGCGGGAGGTGAGCGGGCTGGGGGGGGCGTTGCGGGTACTGAGAGACCCCGCGGTAACGGACCGCCGGGGCCGCTTCCGGCGGTGTGCGGGAGCGGGATGTCCCGCTGCGTTGTGCCGTCACGGCGCCGCGAGAGGCGGCCGCGCCGTGCGTCCGCTGGGAGCGGCTCCGGCCGGCCGCGTTAACGCCTCACCCTCCTTTACAGCAGCGATGGCAAAGCGCAGACGGCGCCGCCGAAAGCCGAGAGGCAAAACCAAAGCCGCCCCGCAGTCGCAGCGCCCGGCCTGCGGCACGGCGCCTCCGTGCGATCGCGGCGCTGCCGTCCGCCCCGGCGCGGCTCGCCTTTCTCCGGTCGCAGCCGCAGCCCGGCCCTCGCTCTGCCCGCTGCCTTTGCCCGCTGCCACGCGCGCCGTTCGGCCTTTGGCTGCGGTCGCGGCGCTGCTGTTCCGCTGGTGCCGCGGCGCTGTCACTCAGGTACGTCTCCGCTTCGCCGTGCTGCCCGGCCGCGGGGCTGAGAACTGCGCTGTGAGTGCGGCCGTGTCCATTGCAGCGCCTGAAGCACCGCGTGTGTTGGGTGCTGAAGGAAGGGAGCCTATAAACGGGAGGGGAGTCAACTGTGGGAAAGGTTAACGACTGCAGGACGAGGGGAAATGGTTTGAAGTTGAGGGAGGGAAGATGGAGGTTGGATGTCAGGGGGAAATTCTTTACAGAGAGAGCGGTGAGGTGCTGGAACAGCTGCCCAGAGAGGCTGTGGATGCCCCGTCCCTGGAGGTGTTCAAGGCCAGGTTGGATGGGGCCCTGGGCAGCCTGATTTAGTATAAAATGTGGAGGTTGGTGGCCCTGCATGTGGGCTGGAGCTTCGTGATCCTTGAGGTCCCTTCCAACCCGGGCCACTCTGTGATTCTGTAACATCTTCAAGTACCTGAAAGGTCTACATTAAATGTGTGAAATGGAGCTTTTGTACTGCAGCATCAGGAGGATTTGCAATGTCTGAAGGCACAGCCTTTCTTTAATAACAGAGATGACCGCTCACGGTTGATGTGAATCACGCCTTAGAATTCATAAATGGAGTTCCTGCTGTTCCTTGGGTTCCTGCTGTTTGGTGAAACTGTGTATCTTAATGCTGTGTGTTCTGCTGACTTCAGTGAGAACTTTGTGCTGGAGCTGCCAACAGTAATCAGAGCTCTCTGGAAATGCAACTTAGTGGAAAATATTTATGCGATTCCTCTTTATTTCTAGAGTTTCACAGTGGTTAAAGAGGTGATATTTCCTTCACAAGTCTACTTAAGGGAGCTAAATGCATTCAAAGAGCAGCTGGAAAAGCTGGAAACTGAATTTTCCAGACTACAAGGAATACTGCAGGTCAGTCTCAATCCCAGTGGGCAGGGTGGTGGTTTTTTGTATCAGTGGGGAGGAAATCAAGATCTCCTCACTGCGGAGTGTTTCACCTCTCTGCATACAGCATTGCTAAGCTGCTTCATGGCAAAATGGAGCTGGTTTTCCAGTGACACCTTGTACCTCTTTCTGAATCAACTGAAGCCAGAACCTCCTTTCTCAAAAAATTCCATGTGCTTTTAGCAGTGGATTTAATATTCTTTTATTTATGTTGTTTTCAGAAGAGTGGAATTACAACTTTGTCTTCAGAAAGCTCTCACTGTCAGAGATGCAGTCAAACAGTTCTGGGTGCTCCTGTAGAAATGCAGCCAAACCCTCCACCATCAGTTCCTGGGCCTCCTGCAGTGCAGCTGCAGCCCACAGCTGTGCCTCCTCCTCCACCTCCTCCACCACCACCACCACCACTGCCACCACCAAAACTGCCTGCAGCACCTCTCCTCCTCAAACGTGGTAACGGCTCTAAAGCACTTCTGGTAAGGATTGAGGTGGTTCTTCTACTTCACTCATGGCTGAGTTCTTTTGTGGGTACGTTGGGAACATATCTTTGTGAATTAGCAGCCCCTTGCTGATCCCAATCTCCCTTCCAACCATGCTTTGTTCTTAGGAGCCGTCGGTAAAAAAAGATGCACCGATGCACATCACTCTCAAAGATCTCCTGAATGTAAAGCTAAGGAAGACAGACAGCAGCCTGAGAGCAGACAAGGTGAACCAGAGGACACGTGGATAATGGTGCACTGGGGCCAACTGTGCACTGGAACCAGTGTATTTCCTGCAGTGCTTGTTTTGGCCCCTCAGAGAATTTTTCAAGAAATTAACTCTTTCAAAATCTCAGTGATGAGCTCTAAGGAATCCTAATTCTGTATGTTGGCACTGGAAATGAATAAATGAAATGACTTATGCCAGTGTCAGCTGACGCGCAGCACAGCTCTTCTGATTTTAGAAGAAGGGCTTTACAGTATCAATATATTTTGCAGTTTCTTTTGCCTAACTGAGGTCTTGTTTAAAAACAAACAAGTGCAAACAAATAGAAGTTTATCCAAGACATATTAAAATCATCATTCAAAAATGCATGAAAGCCATAAGTCACTTAAATCTTTCAGGATGTAAATCTGAAATAGGTCTGTGATCAGTGAGGCCTTCTAAAGTTTATCTGTGTAACATTATTTTCTGTCTTCAGGCAGGATCCCCAGAGAGGACACACAGGGCATTAATTACAGTCTCTGATTTACAGAGTGTTAATCTGAGATCCAAATCCAAGCCATCAGCTCGCATTACAAGCTCCTTAACGTAAGATGCTTTCATTCTTTCTTCAGTATTAAATTCTGCCCTTCAGAATACATCTTTCTGTTCAGAACAATGATGAACACGGAGTGGAAGATGTTTCATTTAAACCTGTTTGTTTTGTTTTTTTACAATAGTACCCCACCTAAAAATCAGTTAGATCTTCGGAAACATCTTAAGAAAGTCAATATACAAAGGTAAGCTGCACTCTGTTCTCTTGCTTTGTTATTCTAAATAAAATCAGTGAACTAATCCCAATTGCCCTCATTTCCAACCTTTTCAGAAGTCCTGGTGGCACTCCACTAAATAAAGAAAACACTGAATGTGGGACTGGGTTGACACCAATTATGACACAGGCACTACGGCGCAAATTCCAGGCAAGTCACAATGTCTTTTTGGAACGATGAGCTGGCTTTAAAATCCATGCAGTTTCATATGGATTTTTTTTCCTGCAGTGCAGTTGTATCAGTGCCCAGCCCATAATTATCACCCAGCGTGCTCAGTACCCACAAATAAAGGTGTTTGTTCTATCACTCCCATTTTAATGGTGAGGAAACTGCAGAATGCGAGTGGTGTTGCCCCTCTTCCAGCAGGTGATCTGACCTGGCTAAGGACAAAAACAGCTTTCTTTATCACCATTCCAGTACTGTCAGCACTATCTCTAAGATCAGAGATCTATCTGAGTACCAGGAGAACAGAACCTGAGGATTCATCATAACTTCTACCTTAAGGATTGGCCGCATCTGTTCTCTTTTATGAAACATCAGTTAAGAATTACATTTTGTCTCAGTAGCAATTAGTACCAAGCTCACATGCCAAGGTCTGACCCAGCTCTTGTGTTAACAGATGGCACATCCGAAGAGCCCCTCACCAGCCCGGCTGAGCGCTGCCAACAGCTTTGATGAGCACAAGTAAGGTTTACACAGTGATGTGTTTTCATTTATGGTCAGGGAGCTGCTTGGATCACATTTTAATGTCACTGAGGCACAACGAATGTGTGTGAGTGCATTTGGGAAGGGGGCATTCTGAAAACACGTTATCCAAAGCCTGCCCTTTTCAAAAGCAACATCTTCCCACTGTGTCTCGATCTGGTTTTGTATTTTGTAAGACAAAATGAGGTTTTCTCAGTATTTTAATACCTGCCTGCTGCTGAAACAGGGACTGTTGTGTTCCTGGTGCTGATTCTGCTTGTAATATACATGTGTTTGTTTATGGAAATTCAGTATTTTTTATAACAAGACTGATCTTGCAATTGCACAAATTCCAAGCAAAGCAGCAGTTGTGCCCTCTGGTGCTCCTGAAGTGAACGTTTACAGTCTCCCACAATTACATGGTTAAAAGCACACGAGACAACTGCAGTCTGTATTGCTTTGGGGCCAGATGAGGTCACCTCTGCTATTAAAGGCTGCGCTGCTTGGAGGCACAGAGAGGAGCTCACTGCTCAGCATGGACACGGCGTGGCCTCGGGACAAAGTCCTGCTATACAAGGACTGGATTTCAGCCGCACTCAGGCCGCTTTCCCAGGGCTCAGCCATACATCTCTGCCAATGGAGCATCACCCCAGAGCTTCGTGGGAGCAGCGGGGCCGTCCTGGGACTGGTGATGCTCTGCCCGCAGTTCTGAGATCACCCAATGGCGAAGCGCTCCGCTCCTGCACTGCTTCTCGTGCAATGAACTCGCGTCAAACCGACCGACCCCGCGGTCAATGTACCCGCCGTCACTCCGGCCCGTCCCGCAATACACGCGTTTCAATCGCCGCGCGTCCAATGCTCGCAGTGCGGGGCGGAGCGGCGCAGGCGCGGTGTCGGCGCAGGCGCGGGGCCGGGCGGAGCGATGGCGGGGCGGATGGCGGGGCCGGGAAAAGCGATGGCGGGGCCGGTGAGCCTGCGGGAGCTGCTGCTGGCCGGCAACGAGGCGAGCGGAACGGCGGCGGCGGGGCCGGGCGCGGCGGCGGCTCCAGGAGAAGAGGAGGTTTGCGTGGTGGGCATCTTCGGCAAAACCGCGCTGCAGCTGTGCTCGGAGAAAGCGGCCCTGGTGAGCACCGTGTGCGACCGGCAGGTGTTTCCCCTCTTCGAGCGGGAGGAGGCGGAGGAGGCGAGAGGCGGCGCGGGGAGGGAGGGCGAGGCGGCCGGCAGGGACTACAACCATCTGCAGGCGTACTACAGCCAGGAGAGCCGCGTGCTGTACCTGGTGCTCACCTCCATCTGCGATACGCCGCAGCTGCTGCGGGCGTGCGGGGACCTGGCGGCCGCCGAGAGCCGGGAGAACGGCCCCGGAGTGCCGCTGCCCCACGCCGAAGCGCACGAGTTCTGGAAGCACCAGGAGAAACTGCACTGCCTCAGCCTCCTCTACCTCTTCTCCGTGTGCCACATCCTGCTCTTGGTGCACCCGACCTGCTCCTTCGACATCACCTACGACCGCGTCTTCAGGGCGCTGGATGGGCTGAGGCAGAAAGTGCTGCCCTCCCTGAAGGCTGCCATCAAGGACTGCCCTGTGGGCAAGGAGTGGAAGCTGAACTGCAGGCCCTGCCCGCCGCGCCTGCTCTTCCTCTTCCAGCTCAACGGGGCCCTGAAGGTGGATCCCCCCCCGGGCAGGGGCCAGGATCCCTGCGGTCACCTGGAAAAGCCCCCCACCAAGAAGCACTCCCCCAAGAGGAGGCTGCAGCACGCCCTGGAGGACCAGATCTACCGTATCTTCCGCAAGAGCAGGGTGCTGACCAACCAGAGCATCAACTGCCTGTTCACCGTGCCTGCCAACCAGGCCTTCGTGTACATCGTGGCCGGTGGGGCGCAGGACGGGGAGGATCCCGTGGCCATGCTTCTCGATCAGCTCAGGAGCAACTGCACCATGAGGGAGACAGAGTCCCTGCTGGCTCCCACCCTGTCGGGACCCCGGAGGTATCAGATGATGCGTCACGGAAGGCAGCAGCTCTCCTTCTATGCAGAGAGCAGCAGCAGCAGCTCCAGTTCCTCGGGGCAGCTGGTGGACTGTACCCTGAAGGAGTTCTTGTGGCAGCACGTGGAGCTGGTGCTCAGCAAGAAGGGCTTCGATGACAGCGTGGGGAGGAACCCGCAGCCCTCTCACTTTGAGCTCCCGACCTACCAGAAGTGGGTGGCTGCAGCTCTAAAGCTGTACGAAGTGACCATCGAAGGCAAAGATGATGACCCGACTTCACTCACTGGTGAACTGAGCTCAAAAATCATGGGCAGCATCAAAGTTCTGGAAGGTTATTTAGATATAGACACCAAATTCTCCGAAAACCGTTGTCAGAAAGCCCTCCCCATGGCCCACAGTGCCTATCAGTCCAACCTGCCCCACAATTACACCATGACAGTCCATAAGAATCAGCTGGCCCAGGCCTTGCGTGTGTACAGCCAGCACGCCCGCGGCCCGGCCTTCCATAAGTATGCCATGCAGCTGAATGAGGACTGCTACAAATTCTGGAGCAACGGGCACCAGCTTTGTGAGGAACGAAGTTTAACTGACCAGCACTGCGTGCACAAGTTTCATTTGCTTCCCAAAGCAGGTAAAGAAACTCATTTGCTGTTGGTTCTCTCTGCTTAATTTTGTGCCTATTTTAAATCGCCTTTAGCTTCAGTGACCAGTTCAGGCCCTGTGTTCTGAGCAGTGTGTTGCAGGTGGTGGGAGCACACACAGTGCAATTGCAGTGCACAGGACAGGGTATAGAAGGAGCTATAGGTGGTAAGGCCTTGTTTCATGCTGTCAGTGTTACAGAGGCATAATGTCCAGTAACTATCCTCATGTCCTTATGCTTTTGCATCCTCTGAATTCTATTTAAAACAGACACCACTGCCCCACTCACAGTAAAGTTTAGGAGCAAGCCTGCTCAGTAATAACTTTGATTCTGCATTGCTAATTGAAGGTGTTACACTGGAGCTCTTCTAACAAGAGATACAGGGGATAAAAAAGTTCTTTGGGAAAAGTTCTTTGCCCTCTGCCTCCTTCTACATAGCTTGACTGAGTGCAATCAAGGCATGGAAACAGAGATATAAGTGTTGCAGGCAGAAGAACTATTTATGCCTTGCAAGAAGCTTCTAAAAGCAAAGATGATACAGTTTAGAGGTGTAATCTACACTGGAACTTTGTATACGAGGGGGGGAAAGAGAAAAGGAGTTGCTGGTTTTGTTAGGTAAACAGCAAGGAAGAGGCAATGGATGAAGGGAGTCAAAGAGTCTCTAGAAATAGTGAGCGTTTTATCTGATTGATTTTGCTTCTAGGGGAAAAGCCAGAAGCAGACAGAAATCCCCCAATCCTGTACCACAACAGCCGGGCTCGTTCCACTGGTGCCTGTAACTGTGGAAGAAAACAAGCTCCTCGTGATGACCCCTTTGACATCAAAGCAGCTAATTACGACTTCTACCAGGTAATTATTGAGTCTCTATTTTTGCTTCATGCGGTGTTTTTGCATCATCAACACAAATCGGTGTCCTCTTAACCTTATCAACTTGTAAACGTTGCTTAGGGAAAACGTGCCTGGAAGCACGATGGGCTGAAGGGGCAATTAAAGTCTTCTCCACTGCATGCTAATTGCACGTGGTCTGTTTTAAATCCATCATGCTTAGGCTGTCCTCCATTTGCTGTTTTGATTCTCGCATAGCACAGATCTCTTGAGCCTGAATTGTACCTTCTGAATGGTCTGACTGCACTCTCCCATCAGTGAGAAGTGACAAGTTAACCACGTTTTGTTTTTCATAGCTGCTGGAAGAAAAATGCTGCGGGAAACTGGAGCACATCAATTTTCCCATATTTCAGCCAAGCACACCTGATCCAGCACCTGCGAGGGACGAGGCATCGCCTGCCCCTCCAGAGGGCGAAATTGAGAAACTTAAAGAGAAAGAACCTCAGACTCAGGGGGAAAGCACAGGTCTGAGCTTAGCCCTCAGCCTGGGTCAGTCAACGGGCAGCTTGGGCACTTACCCACCAGATGCCCAGGGAGGAGGGGACAATGCAGAAGGTCAGGGGCAGAGTGGGGAGTCCAAAAGTGAGAAAAGGCCGAGCCTGGTGGATCGCCAGGCGTCCACTGTCGAGTACCTCCCTGGGATGCTCCATTCAAATTGCCCCAAAGGCCTTCTGCCAAAGTTCTCCAGTTGGTCGCTGGTTAAGCTGGGGCCTGCTAAGGCTTATAACTTCCACACAGGCTTGGACCAGCAAGGCTTTATCCCGGGAACAAACTACTTAATGCCTTGGGACATTGTCATCAGGACAAGAGCTGAGGACGAAGGAGACTTAGATACCAATTCCTGGCCTGCTCCTAACAAGGCTATTCCTGCAAAAAGAAGTGCAGTTGTGATGGGAAGAGGAAGGCGGAGGGATGACATAGCTCGAGCTTTTGTAGGCTTTGAATACGAAGATGCACGTGGAAGGAGGTTCATGTGTTCAGGGCCTGATAAGGTCATGAAAGTGATGGGAGGGGGGCCGAAGGAGTCTGCCATCAAAGCCCTCAATTCTGACATGCCACTCTACATCCTGTCCTCGACTCAGGGACGGGGACTCAAGCCCCATTATGCTCAGTTCATGAGACTCTTTGTGGTGGTTCCCGACGCTCCGCTGCAAATAACACTGACACCTCAGGTAAGAAATGGAAACTGTTACCTAAGGTTGAGTGCTGCAGCATTAACTGCAGGGCCAGAGGGCACAAAGTGGGAGCCAAAGGGTGCTGGGGATTTTTCCCTGAGTTGGAAATGTTCCTTAATGCTGACAGTGGAACTCGCTTCTATGATGGGATACATTCAACTACTCAGATAGGATCCTGTTGTTGTTAGAAGTTAAGGAAGAATGCTAATTGAGACTTACCACCAGAATTCCAGCAGTAATATAAAAGCACGCAGTTTAGCTCAACAGTTACTTAATTTCATTCTTGTCCTCCTGTCTCACTGATTTCTGATGTTTTTGTGAAAGCCATCAGACTCCACAGGGAGCATTTCAGTTTATCCTTTTGGAGGAAGGTGGGATGAAGTGGAAGAAAACAGATGCAGTAAGCAATTTGTCATATTTGAAACTGAGGCAAGAACTTGAAGGCTCTGTTTCTGCTGGCATCGTTTTGTTGCTTATTCCCAGCTTACATCTATATGACACCTTATGACTCCTAAGAGTGTAAAAATATTAGGAAAATTTGCTATGCTATGCATTGTAAGTTCCACACATCAGTTCCTCGTGTGAATAAGGCTTTCTCAGTTTTCTAATATGGCTTATAGATGACCTAGAATAAGTGCTGCTCCCATCCTTCACATGGCTTTCAGTAACAGCTCAGGTGTCTGTGCTACAGCATTGGAATCCCATTAATGTGGTGGTTAGTACTGCCTAGAGGGAGATGGGCTTGTGATTTATTGAGAGCTGCAGCCTTAAATCCAGCATCTTGCCTATGGTGGAAGCCTGTGGATGGCTCACAGAAGTGAGTGGCGCAGTGGTTTTTCCTGCAGCCTGCTGAAGTGGGTGAGATCCTGACTGTATGCAAGACTTAGTAGACTTCCTTGGAT